CAGCTCGTCACCACTTAGCTAGACATCAGTACCACCTCTCCAGCTCGTCACCATTTAGCTAGGCATCAGAGCCACCTCTCCAGCTCGTCACCATTCAGCTAGACATCAAAGCCACTTCTCCAGCTCGTCACCACTCAGCTAGACATCAGATCCACCTCTCCAGTTTGTCACGACTCAGTTAGGCATCAGAGCCACGTCTCCAACTCGTCACCATTCAGCTAGGCATCAGAGCCACCTCTCCAGCTCATCACCATTCAGCTAGGCATCGAAGCCACCTTCTAGGTAAGAACCATTCAGCTAAGCATCCAAGCCATATTCCAGATAGGGATTATTCAGCCAGACATCCGAATCACCTGCCAGCCAGGAGCTGTAGAAATGCGCATCATCAACATCGTTGTTTTTTACCTGATATGGTTATGACCATCATAGTTCATACCATCCTTATCCTTATCACCGTTTCCCATCCCTCCTTGTTTTGGTTAGAGGTGGGCCTACCATTTAAAGGTAAAACCATAAAAGACAATGAACGATGTCTTCATTAGTCCAAAATCTCAAACACCTCATCTAATTCAGTCTCAACAATATATTCTTTGAAGGTATAAGACAATGAACAATGTCTTCTTTTGAAGGATAATTTTGACATTTTCAAAAAAAAAATTAAGTTGCACATGTCATCAAATGATAAAATAATTGACAGACCGCTAACTATAAGGACTAAATTGATAGTCTTTGACAATTTAAGTACTACAATGACATAATTTAAAGTTTGGGTACTAACTTGACACTACGCATGATACTAATCTGAAATTTTCCCTAAAATAAAAGTTCTGTTCGGTCCAATATTCAAAATTTGACAAACTCTAAGAAAAGGTGCACATACATCATAAAGCCCAAATAACTCAATTCATAAGGAGAATACATATCTTACCCATCTAAACACCAAAGTGAATGGGTTCTCTGCTACCAAACCAGGCCCACGGGCTGCCACATTCATCTTTGGGCCTCTAAAGAAAAGGATCTATTATGCATTTGTAATTTGCGGAAATATGGATGAGTAGTTATGTCATTTCAAAATGCTCGATGGAGTCGCTGCTCCAAATTCCGAGTTTCCAACCCATCCCCGCTCGCCACGCTCGCCACGCGCTCCTTGGCCCTTGCCTGCAAAGTGCGAGCCCATTACATTGTTGTTCAGTTTTTGGCGCAAAAGGGTCGAAATTTTTATGTAAAATTCAACTCAAATTTCATTCAAAATCATCTATCCTCCCTCCAATTCTCTCTCTCTCTCTCTTTATATCAAATCCGTCCCCATCTCTCTCTCTTTCTCTCACGACATTTCCATGGAGGATTTTACAGCTCCATCGTTTTCTCTTGGCCTGGATTTGGACTTCGATTCAGAACCCCAAACAGCTCCAATAGAAGCATCGCCTTCTCAAGAGGTCCCGGAAACATCAAATAATGCAAGCTTTGAGACCTTCCAAGACGATGGAGATTTCCAACTTCCAGCTTTGGATCCAGGTCTACAATCTGAAGATCCTCCTCCGAGGCTCAAGCGGCTTAAGCGGGGACCTGCGACTCAGTTGTCTCGTGTCTTCGATAAACAACCTGCGCCTCCCTATTTGGGTTTTGATGATGACATTGAGGAGTTCTCATCCCAAGAGGACCCACGAGAAGGTAAGAACTTACGACGCTTTTGTTTTTGTTTTGTTTTTTTTAATGCTGGAATTTCTTTCCGTGATTATTTACACGGAGTGGAAAAATTCTCATTTGAAATCAATTCTGTTACGTATATGCCAGTAACTCAAACTTGGGAAATGTGTTTGGGAGTCGATTTAGGAGGCAATAGTAAACGAACAAAAAAATTGTCACAGTCTGGAGTGGACTTCGTTGCAGATGTTCGACTCAACTTGTTCAGAAACGAGGGTAATGGTAATGATCCGCCTGAAGGAACAAAAGAGAAGAAAATATTTTAGAATGCAGTAGTGGCTTCAATATCATTGATGTACCAATATAGAATCCGAGAGCCGTGTAAATTACCGTATTAGCATCCTGAAATTCTTAAAACCTAGATGTCATGGATTACGTGCTTGATGAAATATTAACTAGACCCACAAACAAAATCACTTAGAACCAATTTTTAGGCAAGATGGTATTGTTTCAGGAGCAACTAGTAACAACATACGGTCCAATGGGAAATGGCAAATGGCACAATCAAATATAAGCACAAGAAACGCTGGCTATTGCATCCATATCCTAATTTGGAGCAGTTGTTGATATCGAAACAAAGAAATTACTTATGTGGAGCTCTCTAATTGCATTTGTAGTTTCAGTTGTGTGGGTACAGAGATCAGAAAATTATTTGCTGATTTGCTTGCTAAACATGGTGCAATTGTATTGGGGGATGACAAATTATTATTATTATTATTATTTTGTAAATCTGTATGCAAAGGGGTTACTGGGTTAGGTGGTGCAAAACCAGCCTAACAGAACAATCATTTGTACATAACATTTATTTTCATAATTAATAAAGTTTTCTGTTAACAATAGAAAAAACATTTGTTGTTGATTCCCAGCTTTTGTTCTTAGGATCTCCTTCAAGTAGTTCCACCTTTGGTGGTATGTCTTTATTTTCATCCCTCTTTTCTAGGGAAGTAGGGATATTATTGTTGACTTAAAACTTTACGTGAGATTTAATCCAATTACCCTTGCTTAGGTACATTTATAGCCTTTTCAACATGCTTATCAAAGAATTCATTGTTGTTTCATTTTTTTAATTGTTAAAACAGTTAAGCATTCAGCAAGACAAAATCGTTCTGCATGTAGCAGTTCAAAGTTTCCATTGCATGGTCATAGAGCCCTTATGACACAGTCAACAAGCAAGGCAAAGGTACATATAAGCGCACCAGTGTCCAATGCCTCAACTTCTGCGAATTTGGATGCAAGCAGCAGCAAGCTGATGTTTCCAAATTTAACCATCAGTCCCCTTAAGAGATTCCAATTGCTTGATTCTGATTCAGAGGATCCTTCTTCCAGTGTAGATGCATGTGAAGATGCTATTAAGACTAAGACATCTCCAATAGAGAGACAGTACAAGCCTACCCAAGTTGCAACTTGGAATCAACAGAAGGGAGTAGAAACTTCAAAAGTTACAGTCCAAGATGAGGATTTATGGGAAGGTTTTTGTCCACAAAAGAATATAAGTATTTCTACACCTGGTCTGGATGAATATTGTGACGAATACTTCCAGTCATTGAAGAATAACAATTCTTGGCAGAGGATGGAGAGTGATATATGCCTAAGTTCCAAAAGCCACATGAAAAGCAATAGCAGCAAAGTAAATGTCTTTCAGAGAATGGAGGGAGATGTATGTGCTAACAGCTCCAGAACTGATCAAAAGTGCAGCACCAGTGGAAAGGATGAGTGCATCAGGAACCTGGAAGATTATTTTCCTCCTGCTCGTGATTATCAAAAAAAATTTCCTCCTGCTCATCGGTATTTTTATCATGGTGACCCAAGGATTAGGAGATTAGTCCGCAACCGCTTATGTAACTTTTTCCCTCTTGGTGCTTTGAATCACAGAGAAAGGATGCAACCTGATGCAGCAGTAATTGATTACATGTAATTCATCTATTTCATCTTACATTATATATTTGTAGTTACTGATATTGTGGGAAATTTTTTATGCATGTTTTAACACTCCATATAAATGTCACTGCAGGAGTCAATTTGGCCATAAAGAAGGCCATCAATTACAAGAAACTGGAAAGACAAGCCTTGGAGGTAGCAAAAAAAAGGGCAGACAGAACTCAAAACCTTCAAAGGCTGAAGAGATCTCACAAGCTTCTGGAAGCTGGGTCAACCCTAGAAGCAATGCTAACAATCCAAGAGATGCTGGAAAAAGACGAGTTCATGCAAATGGTTGCTCTAGTGGTTACTGGTTTACAGGACAAGATGGAAGAAAGGTATACAAAAATGTTATTTAGTGCTTGGTTTTTGGTCATTCAAATCAGTTCTATGTTTAACCAAATTGAATCCATTTTGTGTCTGTTTCTTCATAAGCATTTCTAGGAAATTCATGGGAACCATAAAGTTACTCTTTATGCACCAAGTAGAAACATCACCACTCCAAGTAGGAATGGCAACGGTGCGGGGCGGGGTTGGGTTTTGCCTGCCCCATACCCAACCCTGAAATCAAATTCCCCGCTCTGTACACGCCCCCAAACCTCGGCAGGGCTAAAAATCCTAACCCCATCCCCGTCCTCGTGAGGAACGGGGATCCCCGACTTTGCCCCGTACCCCCACCCAGCCTTGCCCCTGTCATTCTTACTTGTATACTTATTAATTAATTTGTTTTTATTTTTTTGAAACCTACCTAGAGGCTAGAACTATTTTATATTACGTAATACAATATAGTATAATTTAATATATAATACAATATATATATATATATATATTAATAATTTTATATATATATATATATTAAGTTATATAATATAGTTGGGGCAGGGTGGACAAATACCGTCCTTGCCTTGTCCTTGACCCTAGGGTTTCGGGCTTTCCTTGAACTCGCCCTGAGCCTCGATCAGTTTTAAAAAAACCCACCCTGATTGGGGTGGGGCCCCACGGAGACGGGTCAAATTGCCATCTTTAACTCCAAGGCATATAAATTAAAATCACTAATTTCTTGTAACTTTCACACTCCTTTAGAACCTTAATTAGGGTGGAAATGATTAGCTATTTCTCTTCAATATACTATTTTATAGGTTACCACTTTTGAAAATGAAGCATATTCACTTAATTATTTTATAGGTTACCACTTTTATAGGGTGGAAGTGAAGCATATTCACTTCATTATATGTTACCACTGACTTTTGATGAATGCCAGCTGATAGGTTTCCGCTTTTATGATACTGGTTGATTAGGTATCATGTCATTTTGGTATCATAGTTGGACTCTTTCTTTAAATAACTCAGTTGAACCTAGACTATAGAAATTTATTAGGATAAAAGTTTATCATAATTCAGGGGCAGGTAGTGTGTTCTGTAATATCTTTGGAAGTGAGCAGGATGGTTCAATTGTATTTTAATGAGGGATAATGCATCTTTTTCTCTGTATTCTTTTTCCTTAATCTGATTTTAGTAAATTATTTTCTGATCAAGAAATAAATAATAAATAGTAAAAATATTACAGTTGTTCCTTTTGAGCAATGCCATACATCTTGTCAAATTTCGATCATCAAATTTTAATACAATAGGGTTCCTGAAGCACATGCACATAGATCTAGAATGGTCATATTAAAATAGTGTATCCTTTATAGATTATTCTCTTTTATAGATCTAGCATTTGAAATTATTTAGCACCCTTCTCTTATATGAATTTCGCAGTCACTTCTAGGGTACTTAGAAGGCTCCAATTTGTTCCACACTGTTCCTTGGATAAGACAACTTGGTTGGAGCATTTGATTTAGGTTTTGGCCCTATGGTTCTAAACTCTCCCACATTTGGAATTAAGGGGTTACTCTACATATTAAGATCCACTCAAAAGTTGTCCAACCAACATGCATCTTTAAATTTTCAATAAGATTTCTCTTACAAGAATATCCACCAACCCCCAAGAACCATTTTTGTGCAAGTTGGAAGTTAAGCCCTTTGAATGTAAATATTTAGCTATGGTTTTTGCTCATAAAGATTGAGGTTCCATAAAGAGCCACTATGCAAATTTGGCCAGCAAGGCCAAATTAAAATGATGTGTTTATTTGCTAATAAGATCCCAGCTCACCCAATTAATTCTATTCTTTATGGGCATGGGGCAAAGTCTTTTAGGTTCAACATTTTTCCATGAATAAAGGTGAGGACAGGGATATGAAGACACCTTTGCAGCACCAAACTAAGTTGCAGCATGTCTCCCAAGGTCAATTAGGGAAACTAAGTAAATGATGTGATCAGCAAACTCTTCTTCTTTACTAAATACACAGCTGCTAACAGTTGGCGAATCTTGTGTAGGTTTCTTTTAGTTCCCCTCTATACACACACTGAGACACATGCATACACAGACGGGGAAAGGGAGAAAAAAGCATGACATAGTGGTAACGTCATCAGATTCATCACTCATCAGAAGTGCCAACTATGGTGTCTGGGTTGGTTATCTTTTTTCCCTTTTTCATCAGTTTAAAAAAATGAAAATGCAGGAATACAAAACTGAGTGAATCAGAAAGAGTGATCCATGCTGGAGAAAAAATCCCATAGAAGATAATCCCAACATAGTCTACTATGAGTGGATAGGCACAAAATTCATTATTTAGGTCCATGAATGCTAACTTGACAAGAATTTGTTTTTACCTCTGACATGTATGATTTAACAATATGCTTGGAAGCTCTGTATTGTTGAGTCTGATAGCTTGGATGCGATAGGTTGATGGTTTTTTCAGTAGTTGGAGATCTTTGTCACTGTCTCTTGTTGGCTGTTTTTCGTTCAGAAACATGGGTGGGAGGTTCAGTGTTTTCTTCTTTGGGATTTGTAAGGGGAACTCCTTGTTGGGGGAATGGACCCCTCTGGATCTATGTTGTTGTCTGGGTCCTGTTTTACTATGAATTTGATCTTCTATTAATAAACTTTACCTTCAAAAAAAAGTGCAGGGCATATACATGATGCTAGATACATGTTTGAACCACACAAATGCTAACCCTTCAAATAATGTTAATGATGATTTACAATTGAGTTCTATGTTTTACTAAAAAGAAAAGGCAAAAATGAAGATTCCATACTGGTTTCTCATAGACAGACACATGCTCCAGTATCATGCTTTTCCGCTTATTTTTTAATAATCTTATGCACAGTTTTTCAAATATGTTTTGTTGTTGATGCATGCTTGGTTGTTTCTCCTGTGTTCATGATTTATAACAACCTGTTTTTAAAATGTGCGTTTCTGAATATTTTTCAGGTTTATGTGACTACAAATGGACAAGAGTTGACAGGTGCAACTGCTTATAGGCATTATAGAAAGGTACATGTAGATAAATGTGCTCGTGTGTTATCTCTGTGCATATGAACTAATTAAAAAAAGGCAATTACCCAATATTGGTCCCAGCTATCTGGGGTCTTGGGGGGGGTAGACTGGATACAGAGTTACAGACCTAACTTTTGACATTTTTTGAACAAAGTTGTTGCTCTCACACTTGAACCCATGTTCTTGCATTTGTCAGCCTGAAATTGTATCATTTACCATGCAATGGCCTCTTGTGTCTGAACTAATCAGCTTTTATTTATTTCACTCTTTTGTGCTATTGGTTCACTGAACTCACATACCAAGTACCAACTAAGCTTTGCTTGTTCTTGAAAAATCTAGTGTCAATTTTCATTTAAAATCATTTAGCTCAGAAAATACTGACGTTCTTGAACAAATTGGTCATTTGACAACATTAAAGACAGTAACTCAAGCCCTTTCTAGTGCAATTATTCATATGTTCACAATTCAAGATTCATGCTTCCTTTATTACCATATAATTGCCACTGCCAAGTGGCTGCAAACATGAGGAAATGGAAGAATCAGAGCTATAAAGCACAAATCATTCTGTTAGGAAGGCTTAGCGTTCCATCAAGTAGCTTGAGCTACATTGCACCAATGGTTGTCAATGGTTTGGACCATGATCTGGATTTGATCTGATTGATCTGGATATGGATATCAAGCTGTAAATTTGTTTACAATGAAATCTGAACCCCCAATCACATCCTGTAAAGATCTGTTTCAACAATATTTTTTTATTGGAAACAGTAACTTTCATTGGACTTGATAGTTAATCATGTACACTGTCAACCATTCAGAATACGAGTGGACCCCAAACAACTTTAAATTCTTACAGCACAGCCAAAAAAAGGTTTTCCCGGAAGGTCCCCTGCTTTGCTAGTGTATCAGCCACAGAATTGGCTGACCTTCTTACCCACTTGAGTGTTACTCCAGCTTCCCTTGCTAGGTAAAGTATTTCCCTCATTTGTTGTCTAAGAGTCCATACACCCAAGCTTTTTGTCTGTAGCCCTCCTATTAATAGTTAGTCTCCTTCCACCTCAATGAATATGATTGTATCTTGTTACTGAGCCAAAAGAAATAATTGTACATTGTTTAAAGTCAGTTTAATGTGCTATTTTAGTATTGTTTAACTCATGGTTTTTGAACTACTGTTGACCTGGACGGTCAGACTGTTTGGCCTGGGAACCGTCCAGGCAACCGGTTCTGTTTTACCCCAAACCTGGTCCCTGTCCAAAAACCGCTGAATTGGTCAACAACCTGTTGACCTGGGTGGGCAAACCATCGACCCGTTTGACCTGTTCAATGGTTTTGGCCATTTTTTATTTTAATTATTTTTTAATTTTTTGTCAGAACAGGCCCCACCTGTTCAAACTGGACAGTTGAACCATTGACCCAGAAACCGGTGGCCAGATTGCTCTGGTTCCGGGTCGTTTTTTAAAACATTGGTTTAAGTAGATAGTTGTAAGTTGAAGTCCCATGGAGATGAGTTTGTAGTTGATTTCACTAAGAACATACAATATACAAATGCAGTCATAGTCTGACCTGAGTAAAGTAGTTGGATTTAGGTCAAATTGCCAGATGCTGCATCCTGCATATAGAAAATATATAATCAGATTGAATTCATATCTGGGTGTATTGGATCTGAATCTGACCTGTTTACTGCTGTACCTAGGTTGAGCTGTCATCGTATGGGGTTGGCTACATAAATCCTGTTTCACCATTCCATTCTGTTCAGCTATACCATTTAATTATGAGACCTAGTCTGAGATGTATCTTACTGTTTAATGTAATAAATTAATAATTGTAATTTGTAAACACCTGTTAATTTTATAGTTACTGATAATGCTTAGCTCTAATGCTAAATATAAGAAAAGAGAAACAAAACCAAAATAGTTAATATATCCCTTCATCTATAATTGCCTAAAATTTGATCAGGTAATTCTACAACATGATGCATATGCATTTGTAATATAAACATTGTCCACTAGGCGAGGCCTGCATGGATTTTTTACTTGCTGTTTGTTTACCAGGATCATCATGTTATTGGCTTTAATGTTTTGGCCCGGTTATGATTGAAATATGGCATCTGCTGTGGTTTTTTTTATGTATCAACCATAAATTTGTTACATTTGACAGTTTTACTCTTTTCTTACAGGAGAGTGGGAAGGGGTTTAAGAAGGCTAGGAAGAAAGTTACTGCCAAGAAGTCAAAACGATAGGATTTACCATTGCCTTGTATTGCTTTGCCATTCTCATGCCTCATGTTTTCAATTATACAACTTCGTCGAGATTACTCAGCACAGAAGAAACTGGAAGAGTAGTTTTTCACATTCACTGATTACAGATGGTGTACCCTGCTGACCTGCTCTAATGTCCCTGGACTGAACTTCACTTATGTGCTTAGCTTAGAACCACAATGGAAGTTGGGAGCCATATGGTACTCTACGGATTGTGAAGAGATTGCGATGGCCCATCCTATTCCCACTTTGAACCTAAAAACATGAAGCCAATAAAACGTGGTATACTTGTAATATTGGTCTTTCTGTACTTCTATTTTCGAACCCAAATTTCATCAAATAAGCAACAAGTTCGGGTTGAATATATCTTGCTGTTTCTTTTCCTGTTTGGCTGTTCCAATTGTGGATGGATCGACTTTTAAAATATTATCTTCCTCTGGTCATTATGTTGCTTTTCTATAATGAAGATTTGCCAATGGTTTCTTGGGAGAAACCAGATGTTGGGAGTGAAGGCTTATGGAGACAAAGGTCAAGAGAACATGGTAATTGGTATGGTTGGCAAGCTCAACAATCTTCAATTGCAAGCTGGAAAAAAGGCTGTTTCTGGAGCAAGAGGGAAAAGGAAACAGAACAAGAGAGTATGGGAATAGATATCATTTCTGAATGATTAATTACATAATGGTTGGCAATGGTGGCCAAAGCCGCCACCAGATCACTTTGATTTGGGTAAGAAAAGAAACCTGAAAAGATGTTCTCCACAAACTTAGAACTCTATTTTACAACATTGTTAACTTACTAAGCAATGAGCGATTAGTTGAAACTTCGAAAGTTTTTACAAACTAAAAAGCCTATTATGAATTTCAGTGGCTGGAACGGGTATTACTTTGAAGCATCTTGGTCAAACATCTTACTCCGTTAACAGTGTGCATATTCTCATTAATATCATTTTCAGAAAGAAAGGCAACCTCGGAAGATTAAAAGGGGCGATACTAATAGTAAGACTAGTTTCAGACTTTCAGTTTTCAAGATTTGAACCAGATAATACTTTATGAAATGTGTTAGTTATTAGCGATTGAAAATAGGGTTTGAAACTTTGAAAGCCGATTCATATCGGCTGATATGTATAAATACATTTTGATACTTTGTAGCAAGGAACCGTGGTTGTGTTACATTGTCTCTTTTGCAAAGGGTGGGGTGGACAGCCGGTGAGCAGACTTAGGTTCTGTACGTGGCGGTGGTGATGGAAAATTTTGTACGTGGCAGTGGTGATATTAGTGGGTGTGCATGGCTTGGTGCCCAGGGAAGGAAACTTCGTTACAGGTTCTGGTATGGGTTGAGGTCACTCCGACCAACCGGTCCAGCCAAAATTTAGCCGGCCCAGGGAAGGAAACTTCGTTACAGGATCCGGTCTTTCTTGTAATCAAAATGCTGATTTGGTACCTCAGGAGCTGCCCACCTAAATGGCTTGGGTTCCTCATCTTGTGGCTTGGTTAGTTGGTTTCCCTTATTTTGAGGTGAGCGGTGGTAGGCTCTTTGTGAATGCCAGTGAGCCTTGTGTGTGGTGTGTGTGACCAGGTGGCTGAACTGGTGGACGTACATGGACGGTCAACTCCTGAGTTTTTGACACTTCTGTTTGTTTCTCCATGCTAACCACCTGGTTGCAGCAAACATATCTCCCAGACAAGACCGGATCTGCTCCTCACATATGGCGCCTTACACACACATGCTATCATGCATTAGGAATATCTCCCATACTTTTTAAGTTATTATTCACGGGAGATGTTCCCATTGCACGGTGGATGTGCATGTGAAACGCCCAAGTGTGAGGAGCAGTTCCGTTCCCTCCCAGCCACCTATATGGTTTGAGAAAGGCAATTAAACTCTCCCAACACTGTCAGTCACAACAGGTCACTTCAGCCGTCCATTCAAAATAGGCCATAAAATCATTTCATGAGAGATATTTTCAATGCGTGGCTGCAATGGCATATTGTAACATGACAAGGCTGTTAATAGAGGTGTAAAATGGGCCTTGCTGTGCGGGCCTGATTTTGTGGGACACCCGTGCTTTAGCAGGCTTTGTCATGCAGGTATGCAGCCTGGGTGGGCCGTGCCTGCCTGGCCCAGGACCCTTATAAGGTCAGGTCCGGCACGGCCTGTGGCATGAGCCCAAGTGGGCTCGTTTCAGGCTGTGAGAGGTATGACTTTTATAAAAGAAATAAAAAAATAATGAAAAGATTAAAATAAATTAGAAATCTGGCAGGTGTCAAAAATATAGGATGGGTTGGTTAGTTGGACCAACATCCGAGAATAGGAATGCTAATGGTATGGGTTTGCCTCAACCCTAACCCGACCCTCCAGCATCCCAACCCGATCTAATAATATGCAATTTCTAAACTTGAACTGATCCTATAGGGCAAGGTTCAAAATATTAACACACCCGATACACCGGTAGAGGCATATCAGGCAGTATCGGTAGTTTTTTAAAATTTTTTAGATCTTTTTTTTTTTCAAATCTAGTTTAAGGTCCATCCACCTCCTAAAACGGTCAAAACCCTGATACACCCTCCGTAGAGGCGTATTGGTCAATATGGGCCGACACGTATTGATATTTTGAACCTTGCTATACGGTTTAACCTGATCTTGACCCATCCGATCCACATCCTTTCAATTGTACTTTTATAACACATTTTGAAAACCTAAAAACCCTTAATTTAAGTTGGAAATTGGTGTATAGGTTTTAAAATGTCACTTTCTCCATCATCAAGAGAAGAAAAACCAAAAGAAACATGAAAAGAAATCCTAGATTTTGAAGTTATGGACTTAGAAGTTAGCAAATTACAAGAATGCCCTATATATGTATGGGGTAGACCTGTTCATGGGCTGGGTAGCCCGATGGGTTGGCCCAACCTGGCCTATTCTAAGTTGGGCTTTGAACATGAGTTTAGGCCCATGGGCTCGAGCTCATGCTAACAAAAAAATATATTTTATATAATAAATATATATGTATAATATATTGTTTTCTTTATTTCTCTTCTCTTTTTTCAAGTTGTAGTGAGAATTTTCATTATTTTTTAGTTTTAATGTTTTTTAATATAAATAAATTAGTTTTTATTGAATAAAAAAGAAAAACTCATTTTCCCAATTTTTCTAGTTAGGTTCGGACTCGGGTTTGGATGTTTTATGTTAATAATTTAATATAAAGACAAAGCCTGACCCAAACCCGGCCCGTGAACATGTCTAGTGTGGGGATATCATGGCCCAACAAGGTGGGTTTACCATTTAACTCAATCCATTAACATCCCTATCCGGGAAGAGCCACATCATTTGAGTGTGGATAACTAATAGTGGTCAAAAGCAATACTAGTTATGATTTTTTCACTTCTAAAATAAAATTCATTAATTAAACAACTAATACAATCACAAGAACATTTAATCCAATCACCACTAGGGGTGCAATCGAATTGAGCTCTAATCGAATAGTTTGGGCTCAAGTTTTAAATCTTAGGATAAGTTTGATTAGTTATTTGAACTTGAGATCAATCAATAAAAAATTTGACTCGAAATCTCATGATATATTATAGAATACAAAAATATATTTTATTATATATTATATAAATTTTTTTTATGTAAAATATGTTTTATATTTTATATATAATATAAGAATATATTATATATTATAAAAATATATCATATATTTATAAAATATAAAAATATAACCATTTTTTATCTTTTGAACTGAACTCAAACCAAAAAATAGATTTGAAATCAAATTTAAACTCTAACTCTTAGTAGTTTAGTCGAGTCAAGACAAGACATGCCAAAGTTCAGCTGGCCTAGGCTAGATTACACCCCTATTCACAACATTAACTCCAATTAATAAGACTAACTAGCAAAATTATGAGCTAGTACATTCTTTTTGTTTTTTGGTATTCGATAATAGGCACCATTAATAACTTCTCCGTGACCATTTTTCCCCAAATTGCTGGTAGGGGGATTTGATTCCACGTCAACTGGAACAAACCAACTAACACACCAAGAAGCCAGCCCTCGATTGGTTAAGGCAGTACATTCAAAGCTTTGCCAGTTTGTCTATAACGTAAAATGAAATATGACCATGAATAGATGCCAAAACATTAGCATCCGTGAGCCAATTGTCTTAGGGTTAGAAGCATAGGGCTAAATCTTTGTTTAATTTTGTCACACTTGGTTTAGGGACCTGAACCTAGCCATGGAGTCTCAACATATCCCGTGGCATCTGCAAATGAAATAATAATTAGGGACCCTCTTAACCCTTGATCGATTGTGGGTTTAAAACATATAAAGATCAAACTGAGTTCTTTTGCAAAGGACACTGTACACATTCGATTTCCTCCTATACATTGGATTTTCTCCTATAAAGAAATAAATTTTGAGAAGGTTTTTGGATTGTGGGAAAAATTTAAATTACTTGTGGTAAAATAGATAGTTTCTAGAGGCAGGGCAAACAACTGAGACAGAAGATTCGAATATTGATAGGTAGCATGAGAGAATTTGTATAATTTTTCTATCGGTTGGTGTGGAGTGTGGCTAGAGCTTACAGAGAGTTTTTTCTTAATCCTTGAAGAAATCTGAAAGGGGCTTTTTGTATATTAACTATCAAGCACAGAACAAAAGATTTCTGAGAAGAGAAGAAGAAGAAGAAGAAAGAGAATGGGGAAGAAGAATTTGGGCTTAAATGAAATATCTAATTTTTAAGAAAGGTTTAATTAATGTTTGAAGAATTGATATATTTTAAAAAGAGTATTAACGGAGGGATTAAGCTCTTGGGTAGTTGTAACACAAAAGTCGGACTCCACTAAAAACAGCTGCAATCATTTTATTGGGTTAGTAGAGAGGGGAGTAGAAGGAAGTTGGTAGGAAGTCCGGACTGATTCTAGTAGCTGAAACAAGGGCCACACACATCTCGTCTCCATCCGTTTCTTCTCCTGTAAATTAAAATCCCATTTCAGACTTTCAGTAAGCTACTCCTACTACTCTCTCTACACTCTTCAATTTTCTTCCCCAGTCACCATCCTTATTATACAAATATATCGCCATCCTTACCACCACGACCACAACAACCAGAAAAGAAAAAAAGAAATGGAGGAGTGCTCTCATGAAGAACTCCAGCAACCTATCTTACAATTAAAATCACCGTCCGTATCACGGCAGTCGTCGGCCGGGGAGTACAGATGGAGCGACCAACTGGAAAAGATACTAACGGATCCCCATATACCGACGTTGAAGCGCTATCGGATGGCCACTTGGATCGAACTAAAGCGCCTCTTTCTCCTCGCTGCCCCCGCCGTGGTCGTATACATGATCAACTATTCCATGTCCATGTCCACCCAGATCTTCTCTGGCCACCTCGGCAACCTGGAGCTCGCTGCTGCCTCTCTGGGCAACACCGGTATTCAAGTTTTCGCCTATGGTCTCATGGTACATAAACTCAAACACACAAGTTCTAGCTAGTACCGACTACTTCTACTTGCTTATTCTCTGTCTGATATATATATAGAGTTCTGAAATTATTTTCAGCTGGGCATGGGGAGCGCAGTTGAGACACTGTGCGGCCAAGCATACGGTGCTGGCAAGTACGGAATGCTAGGCATCTATCTCCAAAGATCAACTGTAATCCTTATGGCAACTGGGATTCTACTCATGGTGATATATATCTTCTCCAAGCCCATCCTGATTGCGCTCGGTGAATCATCGGAGATCGCATCGGCGGCAGCGTTGTTCGTCTACGGCCTTATCCCACAGATATTCGGCTACGCTGCCAACTTCCCAATACAGAAATTCCTGCAGGCGCAGAGCATTGTGACTCCCAGCGCCTACATATCAACGGCTACCCTTGTCGTGCATCTCTTCCTAAGCTGGATCGTTGTGTTTAAGGTGGGTCTGGGCTTGTTAGGAGCCTCGCTGGTTTTGAGTCTGTCGTGGTGGATCATCGTGGCGGCTCAGTTCCTCTACATCGTGGTGAGCGAGAAGTGTAAGTACACATGGACTGGTTTTAGCATGCAGGCGTTCTCTGGTTTGTTCGATTTCTTGAAACTATCGGTAGCTTCAGCGGTGATGCTGTGCTTGGAAACTTGGTATTTCCAGATACTGGTTCTGATTGCTGGGTTGCTCAAGAACCCCGAATTGGCGCTTGATTCTCTCTCTGTTTGGTAAGAAAATGATGGTTTTGCTATGGCAATTAGATCTGGTGATGAGAGCACTTGGCTACTGCCATGTGATAAATTGTTATTCATTAACATGTGAAACTACTCTTTGCCCTGTTCAGCATGACGATATCAGGTTGGGTGTTCATGGTTTCAGTTGGCTTCAACGCAGCTGCAAGGTATATATAGACAGTCCAAGTTAATTAGTTCTATCACCTAAGAAGAAGATGGGGATTAAATAAGTAAAGCTTATCAAATATTAGTGCACAGATGGTGAAAAATAACATACAGATTGAAGTACATCATCGATGGTTATTTAAGCTTTGGATCTGTTTTGCTTTCAATAATAATCGTAATAATTAATCAAAATGATATATGTAACAGTGTTCGCGTGAGCAACGAGCTGGGTGCCGGAAATCCAAAGTCGGCGGCATTCTCCGTGGTGATCGTTACTTCATCGTCCTTCATAATAGCTGTGATCGCGGCCATAACCGTGCTGGAGCTACGCCATGTCATCAGCTACGCCTTTACCAGCGGCGAAGCGGTGGCCAACGCGGTTTCAGACTTGTGTCCGCTGCTGAGCATCACTCTCATCCTCAATGGAGTCCAACCCGTCCTTTCAGGTGCTGCTTAATTTCTAGCCTTAAATGATTCCTGGATTAAAATTTTATGTAGACAATTTTAAGGGTTTGCTAAAACCTCCTTGAAGTTTCTGGTTGTTGCTAAATACCTTTCCTGAAGTTTGGTTATTCCAATCACCTCCCTTAACTCTGACATTGTTGCAACTTTCATATGATGAATCACTACCCCATTTTCGATCTCTTAAATTGATTTTTTTTTTCAAATTTTTTCTTTAGATATCAATCACTCAAAGGTAAAATTGCAACTTCAAATACTTTTTTTTTATAAATCCTTGTAAAAACTAGCTTCAATAATAATTTCATGAATATTTTAGAGATTTTATGTCTTTTTTAGAAGATTCTAATACAGAGGGACTACTTACAACTATATTAGAAAATTTAGGGGAAGTGATTACAATCACTAGACTTCAGAAAATATTCCAGCAGTGGTAAGAAACTTCAGGATAGGTTTCAGAAATTTACCCTAATTCGAACTTGGCCACTTTGGCCTTGTTTGTTTGCTATGCAATTTTATTTGCACTGATGCAAAAGTATGGGACCGACCACAAATGAGTTAACGTCTAAATTTTGGTTTCATTTTGTTATGGGTTTTATTTATTTTTTATTTACAATAAAAGACAGAGAAAAATAGAATCAGCAGTTAGCTAGCAAAATAAAATAAAATCCGAAACAAAAACGAACCTAAATTTATAATTTTCTCATTTACATTCTCATGCATTTGTATTAGTACAAATGAAATTGCACTGCAAAGACAATCTATCAGATTGGGAAAGGGACAGCACCCTGATTCCTTCTTAGCGGTTGAATTCTTTGTACCTTTTCTTTCTCTAACGGTCTAACCTACTGAAGAAAAAGCTATTTTGTTGCCTGGAAGGTGTGGCGGTTGGATGTGGATGGCAAGCTTTTGTAGCGTATGTTAACGTTGGATGTTACTACATTCTTGGAATTCCACTGGGGGCCCTGCTTGGTTTTAAGTTCGATCTTGGTGCTAAGGTACGTAATGAAATAAAATACAGAAGTTAATTATCTCTCTCTCTATTGGGAAAATTACTCAAACATCTGCCATACATTTTGAAACAGATCGGTAGGACTTTCTTAGGACATCCCTATTAAAAGATACATGAAAACTTATAAAGATAAATAGAAATTTGTAATGACAAGGTGCTTTCGGAGATGAAAACTTGGATTTCTAATGGAAGGAGGTCTGTGTTGTGCAGACATATGTGATAGGGATGTAGCCTATTTCTAAAGAACTGAGAAAGTTTCAGCCATTTTCAAAAGGTATAGGGCTTTGCTGTGTCAGCTTTTGGCTTTGAGAGTCGGGCCTCCTTACTCAGTTACTCGGACGTTTGATGAAAAATCCAGTAAAACCAAATTAGTAGCTTCTCCAAAGCAGTTCACTTGAAAGCAGCTCAACCAAAGCTTCAGTTTGCTGGTCAAGCGTCACATCTTTAACGTCCATCATATACACCACACACCATCCTTCCGATTTGCCAAGCGTCTCCTTTTCCTTCTCAACATCAAGACCATACCCATCATACAAATCAATCAAACCAGCATAAAAACGCAAGAGTCCTTTTCTTTGTTTTTTGGTAAAATACAAAAATCTCCTTCAAAGTTTTTGACAATCATAAAAACCTCACCTCATTATAGTTTCACTTTAACAAAAACCTCCTTTTCACCAATGAACAAGACAGAAAATATCAATAGATACAAATACCCTAGCGTCATTTAATGATTTTGTAAAGTACCATATTTGCCCTAATCGGGCGACAAAAACCTTCCTTTCCCGGCCCTCTTTCTTTCAACCTTATTCTTCGTTTCTTTAAAGAGAACAAAAAGTTTTTTTTTTTTCTTTTTTCCTTTTATTTTCCCGCTTTCCACCTTTGTTAGGAAAAAGAAAGAAAGTCATGTAAATGAACAAAAAAAATGGGCTGAGTTCTCTACTATTCCATCTCATCCAATGTTTTTTCTAGCCCCACAACTGGTACCAAATCATTTCAATCAATTACGACCAGTAAAAAATCCATGTTTGGAAGAACCTGATGCTCTCTTAACTAGAATTGCCTTTGTCTCGATGTCACCTGAGCAGTATATGTCAGCCGGTGCATTCAAATCTTTCGCTATAAAATTAACAAGCATAGTGAAATTGGGAAATCAATGCAAGGAAAAAAAACAGGGCAGAGAGAAAAGACAATTCAACTAGTAAAGGAGAAAAAATGCATGCAATGCTTTGTTATGAATAAACCGTAGGCTATAGCAATCATGCAAATGAATTAAAGTATGAAGGCTACCTTCAACATTGGGCTTCAATCAATCTTAGAAGTTGTGGACTCAGTCAATCTCGACCAACCAATTCAGTCAAAAATCTCACAAACTTTCCTGTTTTTTCGATTAAATCAAAGGAATTCTTAATACTTCTTCTGTACAAATAGATCGAGAGAGGTTTCTTCCGGCCAGTAAAGAAACAAGGCAAAAATCCCCTTTTCTTCTGTTTATTTGTTTTGATTGTGTAATTAATTGTACAACAACGGTGGGTAGCAAACCACATGTGATCTTCAGCATCTTCAAGTGTTAGAAGACACACCATAGGGACGATGTAGGTGTTGAAGCAAGAACAAGGGATGGTTGTGTTGTAAGAAGCGCTTGGATCTCGGTTGGAGCTGAGTGGTAAATGGAAGAGGTCAGAAGATGAGACGAGGAGTAGCAAACAACGTTGAAAGAGCAAGCCACCAAGGCGTAGTAGGTCCCCCCCACAACCGTCGTAGTAGGTCGCCGTAGAGAAGAAGCAGGTCTCTGTATAAAAGCAGTAGGTCTTCGAGTTAGCGTTCTCGTACTCCCCCGTCCAGAACCGTAATTACACCGCATTGAACGCGAAGAAGGGGAAAATTCTGATGCAGACTAAGATGGCCAAGTACGTTAGATGGCCACCTCAGATGAGAAGAGACCCCTCCAACAGGAACCTGAACAAATACTGCCACTTTCATTGGGACATCGGCCACGACACTGAGAACTACCATAACCTCAAGGACTTGATTGAGGAGCTGATCCATTGAGGTTATTTGAAGTAGTTCATCAAGTGGGAGGACCGAAGCCGACCTGCCGACCAACAAAGAAAAGTGCCACAGTCGAGTAGGGACCAGAATGGAGACTAGTTTCCCCAGACCCACCACTAGTAGAGCGGCCCATCCATGGTGTTATTAACATGATCACGGGAGGGTCCATAGTAGCAGGATGTAGTACCTCGACGGGAAAAAACTCAGCTCGGGAGCTCGAGCATGAGGACAAGAACCCGCCGAAGCGCCCTCGTAGGAGAAAGTGATTTACTTCACCAAGGATGACGCTCGCAGAATCCAGTATCTGCACGATGACGCCCTCATAGTCAAGTTGATCATAAACGACTTCGAGGTAAAGCAAATTCTAGTTGACTCCAGAAGCTCGGCCGATATCATTTTATTGGAGGAATTCGAGTGGATGGAGCTCGAGAGGAGGGACTTACAACCAACCGACGTCCCCTTGGTTGGCTTTAGCGGAGTAGTCCGACCCCTAGGCCGGGTGTGAGTGCTAGTAATGATGGGCTCGACACCAAACTCAGTGCATTTCAATCACGACTTCCTAGTGGTCGTGACCCCCTTGCCCTACAATGTCATTCTAGGCCAACCTATTTTGCACACCCTTCAAGCAGTAATGTTGACCTACTACTTATCCATGAAGTTTTCAACAAATTATGGAGTATGTAGGAGTGGTGTAAGGTGATTAGCTTGAGTCTCGCAATTGCTACGTGGCCGCACTAAAGGGGAAAGGAAATCAGGCCATTAACATTGACTTTGAGCCACCACAGGAGAATGACAATGAGAGAGCTTGCCCCATGGAAGACATCGTCCTGGTGTCGGTCTTAGATACCGGCCCTGAGAAGATGGTGTAGATCGGATACCGCCTCACGGAACCATTGTACATTGACCTGGTAAGTTTTTTAATTAAAGATATAGATATTTTTGCTTGAACACCAACAGAAATGCCCAGCATAGACCCCTCCGTCATAACTCATAGGCTAAATGTTGACCCTTTAGTCAGACTAGTCAGACAAAGGAAGAGGAACCTCACCCAGGAGCGGTGGAGGATAGTAGATGAGGAGGTTAGGAAGCTCTTTGCAACAAACTTTGTTAGAGATGTCCAATACCTGAGTTGGATTGCCAACCCAGTGCTCGTGAAGAAAGCCAATGACAAGTGACACATGTGTGTCGAGCTATTGAGTTTCATGAATACATGCTCCGGCTACAAATCCAAATGGATCTGGTCGATGAAGAAAATACTGCTTTTGTAACTGAGATGGACTTGTATTGTTATAAAGTTATGCCCTTTGGTTTAAAAAATGTTGGAGCGACCTACCAACGCCTTATAAACAAAGTTTTTTCTAATTTAATTGGAAATAAAATTGAAGCTTATGTTGATGATATGTTAGTGAAAACCCAATTTTCAAATTCTTTGATTTCTGATCTTAATTGTGTTTTTGACATTCTAAGAAAATACAACATGAAACTCAACTTGAACATGTGTGTCTTCGAGGTCACGTCGAGCAAGTTCCTCAGGTACATAGTGAACCAACGTGGCATTGAAGCCAATCTGGATAAAATCCAGGATATCCTAGATATGAGACCCCATAGGTCAATTAAGTAAGTTTAAAGGCTGACAAGTCGGATAGCTGCACTGAATCGGTTTATGTCTAAGTTGGCTGGGTGATGCCTTCCGTTCTATAAAGCTATCAAGAAGAACCAAGACTTTGAGTGGACTAAAGAGTGTCAACTCGTGTTTGACGAGCTCAAGAGGTATCTCAGTCTGCCACCTTTGTTGACCAAGCCAGAACCTAGAATTGAGATAAAACTCTAGCTCTCAGCGAGTGACGAGGTAGTCAGCTCGAGGTCCTAATTCGCGAGTTAAACAAGGTGTAATGACTTTTCTACTACGTAAGTAAAGTCTTGCGTGCTACCGATATGAGGTACCCAAATATCAAGAATCTGGCCTTCTCGCTAGTGTTAGAGGCCTGCGAATTGTGCCCTTACTTCCAAGCCCACACAATAGTAGTCCTGATCAATCTCTGAGGCAAGTTCTTTAGAAGCCCGAAGTCTCGGGAAGGTTGACAAAATGGGCAATCAAGCTCAATGAGTACGACATCTGGTTTGAGTTGTGCCCAGCGATTAAGGCACGGGTCCTGGCTGACTTCGTCGTCAAGTGCACGTTCAACACGCTGATTCCTGAAGTCGGCGAGGGCACATCCAACCAATGTGGCACCTGGCCCGACTTGGGACGAGGAGCCCTGGATCCTCTATGTGGATAGGTCGTCCAACTAACGTGGAAGCAGAGCTGGGCTGATACTTTACGGGCCTAGCAAGGTGAAGCTGGAGTATGCTCTCTGGTTCACATTCCGAACGTCGAACAATGAAGCCAAGAGTACTAGGCATTGATAGACAGGCTATCGTTGGCGAAGGAGGTCGGTGTGAAACACCTCGTGGTATGCAGCGACTCACAGCTAGTGGTGAACCAAGTGAATGGACAGTATGAGGCCCGGGAGCCCACCATGTCAGCCTACTAGGCCAAAGTTAGGGAGTTCCTACCCTACTTCCACTCTTGGTTCATCCAGCAAGTACCGAGGTCCAAGAACACCAAAACCGATGCGCTTTCGAAGTTGGCTAATGCGATGAACACTACGAGGAGAACGACCTACATTGAAGACCTTCCACGACCTAGCATAGAAAGGGTAAGAGTAGAGGTCGCTCTTGTTTTGGCGACAAAGCCGAGCTGGATGGATCCACTCGTTGACTATCTATGCCTCGAAAACCTACCTACATAGTGTAATGCATCTCGAAGGGTGGAGCGGCAGTCAGCTCACTATGTAATCATAAGCGAGCAATTGTATCGCAAGTCATTCATAATCCCTTACCTGCACTGCTTGCACCCAAGTGAAGCAAGCTAGGTGCTATTAAGGGTGTCCACGATTCGGTTAACCGAACCATGGGCAGCTTTTGTAAACCGAACCAATACCACTGGTTAATTGGTCTGTCGGTTTCGGTTTTTGACCAGTTTAGTTCTTCGATTTTTCGGTTTTTTATATTTATAATATATATTATATAAATATATGTATAATATTATATTATAAATAATAAATTATATTATAAATATTATAAAAATATATAATATATGTATATTTATATATATATATATATTTATATATAATATATATAATATATGTGATATATTAAAAATATATATAAAATATACATATAAATATATATACCGGTTGTTTTGTAGGTTAACAGAAAATCGAACCAGTCCTTCGGTTTTTCAAAAATATTTAACTGATTGGTTCGGTTAACTGCATTTTTCGGTTTGGTTTTTCGATTTTTCATGGACACCCCTAGGTGTTATGTGAGATCCACGGAGGTCTCTGTGGAGGACACCTGGGGGAAAGGCGCTACGACAAGGCTATTACTAGCCCATGATGAAGGCAAACACACTGAAATTTGTTTTAAAGTGCGACAAGTGCCAACAATAAGCCAACATACCACACTAACCCGCTGCCAACTTGAGGTACCTTATCAGCCCGTGGCCATTTACACACAATGGGGGATAGATATCATTGGTCCCTTTCCACTTTTCACTAGACAGAGGATGTTCTTGGTCATTGTTGTTGACTACTTTACGAAGTAGGTGGAGGTCGAGCTGCTATTATCCATCATAGCTCTGAACGTGCATAAATTTTTCTGGAGGAACATTATCTATAGATTTAGACTCCCCAAGGTGTTGATATCAAACAACGGGAAGTAATTCGAAGGCATCAAGTTCTAGTATTGGTGTGGCGAGATGGGAATTCAATAGAACTTCACCTCGGTAGCTCACCCTCAGGAAAATGGTCAAGCCAAAGCTATGAACAGGGCAATACTTCATTGACTCAAAGATCATCTCTCCCGAGTTAAGGGTTTGTGGGTGGACAAACTGCCCAGTGTCCTTTGGGCTTATCGAGCTACCATTAAGACGACGACCAAGGAGACTCCTTTCAACCTAACGTACGGGATGGTGGTTGTCATCCCAACCGAGATCTAGGTGTTGACCTTGTGGTCTGAGACATACGATGAGGAGGCTAACGAGGATGAGTTGTGGACTAACCTCGACCTGGTAGAAGAAGTCTGATAGCACCAACCAGGTCCTAATGGAGTTGGGATGAAGCTGACTTAAGCTAATGTTATAATAATTCAATACCTCAGGAATAAGCAGATGAAGAGGGAACCGAAGACCCACTTTTAGGGCCTCCTCAAAGACAGCGACCTCGTCGTCCTCGTGCTCCCATGGGTATCCCTCAAGGGGAAGAGAATATCCGAACTGATTTGGAATCCTATACCGGTCTACACGCTCGTAAACGTTATCGGTAGAGAGCTTGATGGGACTAAACTAGTCCAGTGCTTTAGCCCTACGGGAAAACGAGACCCTCTTATGAGAACCTCACTGGTCTTGAGCTGAGGTCCCTTCCTTGGCCTGACAAGACGGACCACCCTCTTCCTTTGACTCACTACCAAACATTATGAATGAAACAAGACTAAGGAAGATGACTCACCTAGGATGAATAAACTGACCTCGTCAACAATATCGATCACTTTGACAATGCCGAGCTCCGCGATCTCACCAAGAACTCCAAAGACAGGGATGATAGAAATGGACCCCCGAGGGTCCTATTTATAGATGGATGAACCGAACTATGGACGGTTGAGATCAATTGGATCCAATGGTTCGCAAGGGTGCAACAGTTTGTATTTTGAGGTGAAATCAGTTTAGTGCATTTTTTACGTCTGCGTGGCCTAATGGTTGCATGACATCCGTGTGTCCCTAGTACGCTACCTTGTGCTTAGGTCAGACTGACCGAACCAACTCGATCCCGAACCATTGGTCGGACTACAAACAAGGATGGAGAACAAACCAAATCATCTCGGGTTAAGACTACTCCCTCACCAGACAGATCACGCTGGACTTGGGAGTGAGGGAAAATTGATGAGGGATAATTTGGTCCTCCAATGATATCATGACATGTGGCATCGTAGAACAATAGGGTGACACCTCGGCACCACATAAGCAGACCCAAAAGCACTTCAGATACTTCCCAATTGCCTCAACGACCTCGACACCACCCTAGTAGACCAAGTTGTGAACAGCTAGGCAAGACTTCAGGTCGATGTAAAAGGCAACCTGCTTTCACCGAACTGCCCTGGCTTCGGTTAGTGATTTGCCTAACGCGTTGAGTGACCTCCCCCTTAAGCGGTGTATCGCCTCCAAATTCCTCGAGATCACGATATCATGATACAAGAGCTGGTTATCACCCCGCCCGTTTCAAACGGAATTGGGTAAACACTATCTGCTTACACAGAGTCCACCTCCAGGTGTGAAACCACCTTCGAACCAGATAGGCTGGAAATCCCATATGCATTTCGTGAGGTTCATGACAGCTCGCTATATAAGCGAGTCACCTCTAGCCTTATAAGGTAAGTGCAATTTAGTATTCAAGCTCTCTAACTCTCTCTTGCTTTTTAGCTCGTAGAAAAACTCTAATTCATTGACTTAAACATCTAAAATATCTACATCGGGTAAAGTTGCCCAAGTAGTTTGATATTCTCCGGATTGCACACAGTATCACATGTCGAGATCAAAGGCATACGGGCCGTAGTCAAATTTAAATGCCCAGGGACCTTTCTGTGTAATATCCATCAATTCAATTATAAAGATACAATTTAATGGAGGTAGCCCATACGTACCCGGCCCATAACTTACTTGCATAGACGGGCAGCATTTCTCCACGTAACTTGCATTCCGACGAATACAAAAAATAAATAAAATAAAATAAAGCATTTGAAATTGAAAGGAAGGATTCTGTCTTAATTACATGATCATTATAAATGGCGTTGTGCAGGGCATATGGTCTGGGATGATCGGCGGCACTATGATGCAAACTCTGATTTTGCTCTGGGTTACGTATCGGACAAACTGGAACAAAGAGGTATTCCTACTACCCATTAATTCTTACTTATCAGTTATCACTAACCACCTGGGGAACTGATTTGGGCACTTCCAATTTCTATGAGACAAAAACACAAACATCTTCGTTTTGTGAATTTCGTCAGAATCAACAGTGGTTCTTTTCCTCTGCACTGGAGTCTAGAGATATATGCCGGACAGGACCTGTAAAAATGCCACCCTTCATTTAGCTGCATAATTGTTTTTCGTTTTCTTCTTAGTTCCTGAGTTCTGACAAGACAAGAGTCGCTTTTCGTATTGACTAACTAACTAATTCTCCACAAGAAAGTTTGGTGGCATAACCTCTAGTCGCAGAGACGAGACGACCAACTGTTAATATGTCTTCCAAAAGCAAGTTCATGTTCACTCTTGCTCTTGGGCCGGTGGAAAATACCGCCACGTTACTCCTGTTGGCTGTTATCACATCAAAAAATTTAAGAATTGAGCGACGTGGACCGATCCACTACCCACCGTCGGATTGTCGGAAGACGGTTTACTAAATGGAGGAAAGGAAGAGGCTAGGCCTACTCCCAGAAGGAGAAGATGGGTCGATATATTTTACAGTTTACAAACCATCACAAACTTCTTTATCTCTCTCTTTCTCTCTTTATATATATATATATATATATTGCCAGCTTTTTGGAAATTGATATTTCAGGTGGAGGAAGCCACAAAGCGACTTAATAAATGGGAAGACAAACCAGAGCCACTTTTGAAGGATTAAACCATTGATGATGATGATGGATCAATTTTACGTCGTATAATGGCAGCATTTGATTTGATATTCTTCTACCCACCGCGAGATAATGCCATCGATATTCTCGATATTAAGTTGAAAGCCTCTCTCTCTTTCTCTCATATAGGGTCGAATCCTTTGTTAATGTATGTGAATTAATTGGAACTTTTGTAATGAAGAGTGATAAAAAGGAGTCCGTATATCCTGCACATGTCTTCCTACACATTTTCCTGCGCTGACCTATCAGAGTGATACACGTCAATTATCATGCGGATTAAAAAATTTATACATTAGAAGCATGAAATACCACCACACGGTTAATAGTTGAACACTAAAAGATGTTCTGTTTAAAGGTTCTCTTTAAAAACACATTAAAATAAAAGTTATAAAACAAAAGAGAAATAGCGATGAAGATAAACCTGTGTTTTGTTAGAAGGTTTTCCCTAAGGCGATGTTGCCAATAATTTAGGAGCTTATGATAGATAATTACAGTTTTGATCTTGAAAGCATGATCAAACTATTGAGCTAGTAAATGGAAAAAGAAAAAAATAGAAAGCACGGCAAGAGAAAAGAACATTGAGTGTTGGAATGACAGCTGAAAATATAACAGAAAGAAAAAAAAAGAGAACACCAGATTTAACCTGATTTGGTCAAATTATGTATATCTGCATAGAGGGGTATAATGGGTATTATGAAAAATAAGTCTTCACCCCTAATAAAACTTAAATGGTGGATTTAATTGATGTGCCACCAATTTGAATGTGGTGGGCTTAGTCGGTGGGCTATTGAGAGAGAGAAAGAGGATTGTTTACTAGCTACAATGATGGCTGTGATTGGAATGGAAACTTCTCATCCCTTCCTTTCTCTCTCTGGTTTGATCATCAACAACGAAGAAAGAGAGGAGACCCATCTCTCTCTCTCTCTTCTCCTTCTTCTTCTCCCAACACCACTCTGCCCCTGTTTTTTTCTATTTTATCCATTCAATCTTACATCTTCTGCAATTATTCAATTTATGTAATAAAAATCATGTCATGCTCGGAACAAAGAAGTTACAGCTGAGACTACATTATGGGGTCGTTTCCCTTACTTGAGACAAATTAATGGAACTTGAGACTACATCTGCTGCGACCGTCTCCCTTACTTCATTATGGGGTCGCAAGAGATTGCTGTTGCTACGGTGGTCGCAGATATGTGCCATGCACCGTAAAAAAGGAGTAATTGAGAAAACATTGCGTCAATTTCAGGTTGCCACTTCAGCTCCGCAAACGGGGGCGGATTAGTGCCTTACCCTTACCCCTGCTGGAGCTGGACCCGAAGGCCCAAGCCCAATATACTTTTCTATATGGCTTGGCCAACTTCCGCAATTACCATTTTCCGGGGTGATCTGGTCAATGCTCATATTTAATTTCTTCTTTTTCTATGTTAAAAAGTGAGGAAATAGGAGAGGGAGAATTGTTTTTTATTAGTTTGGGATTAGTATAAATTAGTGAGAGCCTAGTTAATTAATTGCCCTTTTCACTTTCACCCTAATTAGTAAATTCAGTTTTTATAAGAGCAATTTTTTAGGGTAAAATACTAAACCTCTCCTCATATTTTACATAAATACTGAAATATCCCTTCATTTTTCAAACTGGACTTAGACCTCCCCTCTCACATTTATAAATGGTTACCTTTGACAGAAAAAGGAAAAAGACTATACCCCAAATTAAATTTGGGATTTGATTGGCTAATAGTTTATAATTAATTTAAAGTGAAAAAACCCATTGTCTTCAACCTTTGAAATAGTAAAACTTGACTGCCATGGTGGAGCAAGAACTCTTGCATCTACACCCATAGTGTAACAGACAATGATTGCATCGATGAATTATGAAAAGGTTGCTTAAGATACCTTTTTTGACATTTTTCTTTTTTTGTTTCTGATTCTTGCACTTTTTTTTATTAACTAGAAAGTGGGTTTCTTCGATGGTAATTAAGAATTGGTGATCTTAATTTCCTCACAAAAGGGTAAATGAGTATTTTTATGAACTTATTTTGTTAAATATTAACTTGAAACTTTCATCAATAAATCCTTTTTATCTATTTTTTTTTTTATTTTGTAGAAAGATATTGCAATTTTATGATTTTTTTTTTATTTTAACCATACATACCACATTGTGTCCACGATTGAATTAACACAAAAGTCAACCAAATAAAAAGATAAAAGAAAATCTAAAAACAAGTATGAATCTGTTCAAGGTTACTTTTTTCTTTATGAGGATTTTTTAAGAAAACTAAGCAAAGAGATAATGATGGATAAAATTGAGATTTTTAAAAAACTTAAACCACATATGATGTCATGTGCTAATAGATATTGGACGGAGAATTAAGGAATGGGTGACTATGCCATCTCTGGACACGGGATTTTAAAAAACTTAAACCATTAGCTTGTGCAACATGGTATATAAGTGATAGCCAATGTTTTAGCAAAGAGATAAGGTTCTTTGTACAAGGAAGATAAATTGAAGATAACATTGTTCTTGCAAAGGAAACAACACACTATATGAGGAGACAAAAAATGAAAAAAAGATGTACAATTTTAAAGATCGACATGTTAAAACCTTTTGATAGAATAGGATGGTGGTTCCCTTCAAGGTCTTAAGAAAAATGGGCTTTCTTAATAAATGGATTCAGTTAATAACCTAATGTATTACTTCAGTTTCTTTCTCAATAAAACTAAATGGAGAACAATTTAATATCTTCAAGCCCAAGAGAAGTTCAAGACAAGGCAACCCACTTCATGGTTTTAAAAGGCGGCTGAGGTGAGGCGAGAGGCGCACGCCTCAAGGTGAGGCAGCCAAATTTCGCCTGGCCTTGGTAGCCTCAGTCTTAGATCAAGGGGCATAAGCCTCAGCTTTAGTGAGGCATAGGCCTTTGGCCTTTCGCCTCAATTTACATAGGCCTTTCGCCTCAAGTTAAAAGGGTTTTGGATGGGGAAAACTTGATTTCATGATGGGTAGTTTTTGAAAAAAATAAAAGAAAAAGTGAAACCCCAAAAAATGTGGGTTTCCATCGACCAAAACTGTTGTTCCCCCTTTTTTGTACAACCGATCGAACTCAAGATTTCAAGAAGACTTCTTAGTGCTCATAGACTGAACTCAATATTCAAGATCAAGAATATTGGAGGGAGGAAGACAAATCAAATTGTGCATACAAAGTACAGGTCCTCCTCCTTGAATCGTGCGTACTGCATAGTGTGTACAGGTCCTCTTCCGCCGCCTCCTTTTCCTGTATGAATCCAGATTCAATATTAAAATGCATTTCAATATTTCCTGAGCTGAAATGCATTCCAGAAATATATTGAATCTGGATCAATATTAATTTGATATTTCAATGAACATGATAAGTGTTGTGATGATACATGTTGCATACAATGAACGTGATATTGTTATTTTATTAATTTGACTATAAATTTGTTATTCTCATTTGAATGTTTCCTTTTTTGTTGATTTATCCTTGGGTTATTTTTTATACAAATTTTGGCATGTTCAACTTGATTTGAACAATCATCAATTGTTGAACCATACATTAAGTCACAAACAATTGTATAAACTTTCAATTATTTATTTTTTCATAATTTTTAAGTTTTTAATTTGAGGCTTACACCTCAAACCACCTCGAGGCTTATGCCTCGCCTCTTTAGCACCCAACTGCCTCGCCTCCGCCTTTAGCCTTTTAAAACCTTGATCCACTTTCACCATAATTATTTATTTTGGGAATGCAAGTCCTATCAAAGTTGCTTAAGAAAGAGGAATTAAGAAAGAACATTCGAGGGGTCAATATAGCAAGGAGAGCTCCGGTAGAGAGTCATTTATTATTTGCTAATGACTATATAATCTTTTCTAAAGTAGAGTTCGGCCATGTTTAGGAGTGCTTAAGTTAAAAATAAGTGCATAAAAACAAGTTCTTATTCAAATAAGCACTTATTTGCATTCGGCACCCAACTTTTTCAAGTGCTTATTTCTTAAAATAAGCACTTATTTTATATTGAGTGTTTGGTAGTCTTTTTCTCTAATAAGCACTTAAATAAGTATTTGTGACTATTTTGTCCTTCATTTTCTTTCAAATTTTCAAAATATACCCTTTGAAAACACTTTTATTAAATTATTTTTATGAAAGTACTTTTATGAAAGCACTTTTATAAAAGTATTTTACGAGAGCACTTTTAAGAAAGTACCCTTACGAAAGCACTTTTGTAGTACTTTCACAAAAGTACTTTTATAAAGTTCATTCATAAAATTACTTTCGTAAAAGTGATTTTAAAAGCACTTTCTTAAAAGTGTTTTTGTAAAAATGCTTTTATAAGTGTTTTCATAAAAGTACTTTTATAAAAGTGCTTTCATAAAAGTACTTTTATAAAAGTGCTTTCATAAAAATGCTTTCACAAAAGTACTTTTATAAAATTCAACTAGGGATATTATAAGTGGTATTTTAAAATTCAACTAGGGATAATTTTGGAAGAAAAAAATTGAATAAGTACTTATTGTATAAGCACTTAAAAAAAGCTGAAAATTTGGGCTTAAAAAATAAGTCCTTATTTTTAAAATAAGCACTTATATCGGACTTATTTCCCAAATACTAATAAGTGCTTAATGGCCTAAATAAGCACTCCCAAGCATGGCCTTAAACCAATTTAAAAAAGGTCAAAGAAGTATAAATTAGAAGTTTTCGAAAAGTGGTTTGGACTTTAGACAAAGGATTAATTATAAAAAATCAAGTGTTCATTTTAGCAGGAATGTACATAGAAGACATCAAAGGATATTGAGGCAAATGATAAACATGAAAATCCTATCTTGGATGGCAAGTATTTGGGGAACAAAATTATTGATCAAAGAGCTTTTTAACAAAGTCAAGAAAAGGTTGGAAGCATGGCAATTTCAAATATTATCAAGAGCTCGTAACTAAACAACTTTTAATTAAGTCAGTGGGTCAAGTTATACCGATATATCAAATGTTCGATCCACAACATTTTGCCAAAAAGCCACTGATAGTAAAATGGAACAATGGACCAGAAAATTCTGGTGGGAGGGAGCAGAGAAGAAGGACCCTTCACCCTTATCACCCCATTACATGGAACAATATTTCAAAGGCCCAAGAATGAGGGTGGCTTGGGTATTACGAGTTTAGAAGACATTTATTATCCTAATCAAAGCCTATTTAGCACCCAAAAGGGAGAGAGGGCATTGAAGAACAACACAATTAACTTACAAGTCTATGAGTTAATAGATGATTAGCATACAAATCCTTCTATAGGACTTCAACATGCTCAACATATGAAAGAAAAAAATGGTCAAGATTATGGAAAACAGCTGCTCCATACCAAATACAGGTATTCTAGCCTCGGAGGGTTTATGGTGAAGGAATTCCTATAAGTAGGGGCGGCCACGAGCCGATCTCTTCACGAGCTAATCAAGCTTGGCTCATGAAAAGCTCGGTTCGACTCAGTTTCAACCGAGATTCGAGCTGAGCTCAAATAGCTACATATAATAATAATAATAATAATAATAATAATAATAATAATAATATATAATAAAAATATTATATATATATAATAATAATAACTAATTATTATCATTCTTAATTTTGTAAATATCAAATAAAAAATTTATATATAATTTTTTTATTTTTATAAAACATTTTTCTCAAATCGAGCTTGAGCTGAGCCGAGCTCGAGTTTACGAGCTTTTGACTCGTGCCAAGCTTGAGCTCAAGGTTCTAACTCGAAGTCTCGAACTGAGCTCAAGCTTCATACTGCCTTGGTGAGCCCATCTCGAGCCTCGTACTACCTTGGCGAGCTGAGCTCGAATAACTATCTATTCGACTCGGCTGGGCTAGAATCCACCCCTACCTACAAGGGACTGACTAATTAGCAAGAGAAAAAGAGGAATTGAAGAGATTTGTCAAATGTGTCTTCAAGAGAAGGAATCTAGTATATATACATTATTTTTCATGTGTACTTTTACCCGCACTTTCTAATTGATCATGTCCATGTGGCAGACCGGTTCAATGTAATTGACACAGATAGAGCTTAGAAGCAAATTTATAACACACACTCACGAGTTCAGATCTCCTTCCCTTAAGAACTCTGCCTATGTCTACCTATATGACATCGCAGCCACACATGGAGAACATCTTATAAAGAGGGAAATATTTCCAATACACGTGGGCAGAGTTGTTCTGGGCAATAGATCTGGCGTCCACACATACAAACTACCATGGCCACTTTAATACAATATTACTTGTTATGCATATTTATAGGAAAAAAAATCTATTATGCCAAAAGATATCATACCGGAAAGGCATATTTTAGGAACGAGCCTTGCAGTGACTGAAGCCAATCTCCTACCAACTTAGCCAAGCCCACCCAAGGGCCAAGGCTGAGAGAAACCTGAGTTGTATTAGGTTTAGGGGTGCAACTTGGGTTGGGCCGGGGGTTAGGAATTTGTCAAATTTTCAATGGGCCGGAACCTTAACCTGAACCCAAAATGTAGAAATTGAAATTCTTCAAGTAGGGCAACCTAACTTGCAGTACTAATTAGGCTACCTCAGCCACAACTTAGGCTGGGTTTGGATTGGCAAACTGAAGCTTTTGTCCTTGGGTTGTCTGTCAGTGACTAAATGATCTTTGGGAACTTTGAATATTGGAGCATGCATAGAGTATGTTAGAATTAGACAAAATTAAGCAAACTAGGCAAAACCCTGGCTAGACTAACTAAGCTTATTACTTTGAGATCCTCAAGAACTTGGGTTGGGATGTAGAAGAGACAATTGTGAACTAATGCTCGAGCCCAGGCTCGCTCTTTATTATGCTTAATGATTTGATAGTAGGGCCATTGAAACCCAAGTTAACGCTAGCATTCCATATGATGCTTCAATGGATAATTCGCTTGCATAGTACTTAAGGCTATGTTTGGTCTGAAGGAAAAGGTAGGGAAAAAAGAAGGGAAAGACAGGAAAACCTATACAATATTTGTAAAGGTTTTCCTACCTTTCCCTGCATGTTCCTTCAAACCAAACATAACCTAAAGGAGAAACCAGCTCCAGGCCCGACATGTATTAATTCTGCATTGCTGGCTATTCCTTTTATGTTTAAGCCTTGAGACCTGAGCATATATTGTTGTCGATTCTTATTCGACGTGTTTCAAATACAGAGAGAGAGAGATGGAAATTGGCATCACTTTGTTTATGATCACCCTGTTTTTGATTGTTGGTCATGAATAGCACTATAGCAGCGACGACGGGCCCTTATGTTAATGACTTGATGGACGACAAAATAACACAATGAATTGGTCGGAAGGAAGAGCCAAAAAAAATGGAGGCCGGTCGGTCAGTGTTAGGAGAATCCAATCCCCCACCCCCACCAATGTTTTGACAGGTTGGCATCATTAATTGACTTTAACCTGTAAAAGGGGATCACTGAATAGTGAATCCACAGAGAGAGAGAGATGTTTGTGGTACTCTAATCTGGTTTACTTGGTAAAGCAAGGGATAGTGTGGTTCCCTTAACATGGTGGAAAAAAAAAAAAAGCGCCCTTTTCATTTCATTACACCTTCGATTCCATTCAAACAGTGTAGCTACACCTACAGAGTGACCTCCTCAGTAAAAAATGTAAAACATATTCCAACGACTATATGTTGTTACAGTACGCTTACCAAAACAGACGGGCGGTTACAGAGAAAAACCAAAAGAGATGGATAGATCCGATATTTTAGAAGTTGCAACCTTGACGTTGCGGGTTGTAGAAGAAGAAGAAGAAACGAAAGTGGAGAGTTAAGTGAAGATAGGAGGAAGAGTGACGATGGTGTCTCTACCGCGAATGAAGCGCTTCCATATCTTCAGTTTGGTCGCCACTTGCCTGTACACACAAGTCCTAGCAGCAGAAATGGTGAACAACATGGTCTTTCTAAGCCTCTTGAGTCTCTTCCCAATCTTCACCTTCAACCGGCATACTCTCACTCTTAGAGACCATTCACTTCTCCGCGAATCAGCTTGTTCCAGAACCTTGTAGATCAAGAACTGGGCTCTCCGATGAATTCTCTCTTCTGGCTCTTCTCTCTCCATCTTCGAGTAAGCATAAGGTCTCCTTGGAAGACTCATCTTTTCTTGATTGACTGAGAGAGATGGAGACACACTGAGTGAGTGGTCTGAGAGCTGAGAGATGTAGTCTGAACTCGTCGTGGCACGGAGAGGTGTGAGGAATGCGTATTTATATAGAGATAGCATTGGCACAAGAGCTAGCTTGCATTAGTGGTGGGCCATGGCCCATGGAGAAGGTAATCAGGCGATGATGCAGTGCATGTGGACAGTCAACATGGATCGACTTAGTGACTACGGTTTGGTAAAAAATAATGGAGGAAGAAAACGATGTCATCTTAGCTGGCCTCTCGTCATACTTCAAGGAAATTTTCTCCTAATAAAAAATTAAACTCACCGAAACCAATTCACAGGGGAGATGATAATATATATATATACACCATGAATAGCCTCTATAATATTTTTTGAATTTTTTAAGGATAAAATTTACCTTTATATATTTAAATTTATTGATAAAAAAATGAAGACAAATAAGATAATTGACTCTTGATATTAAATGAGTTGAAAAGAGGTAATTTAAAGATATTCAATCCATTCATTTCTCTCTCATTAAATCCAACATTTAAGTTATTAACTTGCATTCATGTTCATTGAATCATATATTTAAGTCATTTTTGTTTATTCTCATCATTAATTTCTATCAATTAAATTCATACTTTATAAATAAATAATTCCAATAACATAAAAGCTTATACTTTTAAAATCTACCTAGCAAAAATAGTGTTTTCATCTAGGTGGTGGTAAGAAATTAAATCATTTTGGGTCAAATGGGTTACATGTTGTCACAACTAAATAATAAAATTAAAAAAAAAATTGGGAACATTTTTGAGATACATATTGAACAATAATAAGTATGATAAATAAGAAATGTTTTTATTAATGATAGAAATGGAATATGAAATTTAAAACCAATTGGAAATAAAAATATTTTTCTATTCTCTCTCATTAAATCTTATATTTAAGATATATTTTTTTCATCATTAAATCCTTTTAATTAAATCCACAATATTAATTTTAATAGTATAAAAATAAATCTTTTGAAAAGTAATTTGAAAACAAAGCCATTTTCTCCCCTCCCATTGGTGGGCAAGCAATTTGACCATCTGGGGTCAAATGGATTAATAAATAATGCCATAATTAAATAATAAAAAATTAAAATATATAACTATGAAGTGTAAGAAGTATTTTTATTAATGATAAAAATGGAATGACAAATTCAAAATCTACCTAAAAATTAAATGATGTAATAGTCAAATAATAAATTTTTTGATAATAAAAAATACAAAGAATTACAAAAATAAAAAAAAATGATTGAGAAAATTTTGGGCACATATCTAATGTTATATATTTATAAAAAAATAAAATATTGGGCACATCTCTAATATTGTGCATTCATTATATTAAACAAAAATAAGTTTTATACATAAAAAATAATTTTATCAGTGATGAAAATGTAATACAAATTTTAGTGTTAACATAGAAATCAAACAATTTTTATTTTTAGATGGTGGGTTAGTGGCTTGAATCAAATGACACCATAGACAAACAAAAATTAAGTGTAAAAAGTAAAAAATGGTTTATATAATCTAAATGAAATATATAATTTAAAGAAAAAATTGTAGTCGGTTGTGCATTTAAAATTAAGCTACAGATTGGTTCAAAAACCAACAACACTCTGATAACCGGCTCTACATTTCAAATTATAAAACCCCCGTCATGTCATCGGAAGCTTATGTGGTTGTTGCCAACATGGGACTTTTAGTCCATGTTGGACACAACAAATAACTTGTACCGAAAATAAGTTTTTGGTTTCTCTCCCACTCCTTTTGTCTCTCGATCTCCCCCCCTTCTCTCTCACTCTCATAGTCATCTCTCAATCTCCCTTTGTCGCTCCATCGAATGGAAACGCAGGTCTATCTCTCTCTCTTGCTCTCTATATTGTTCTCCCTCAATCTTTCTCATTCTTCTCCCTCTCGGTCAATATCTCCTTCTCCCTCAATCTCTATCGTTCTCCAGTTGAGGGAGAACGATAGGTAAAAAGAGAATGAGAGAAATTGATATAGAGAACGTAAATACAAAAACCAAAAACCATTTTTATTTATTTGCAAATCACATAATCATTGAGCAGATAAAGATGACTGTGAGTGAGATGGTGTAAGGGAGATTGAGAGACAGAGAGAGAGAGAGAGAGAGACTAAAAACCCTTTTTTATTTTCCAATCACCCAACATTAAAAGGTAATTTCAATATAACTTTTTGTTGTGTCCAACATGGATTAAGAGTCCCATGTTGGCAACAACCACATACGCCTTTGATGACATAGCTAGGGTTTTTATAATTTGAAATGTAGAGTCAGTTATCAGAGTTATGTTGGTTTATGGACCAACTTGTAGCCTAATTTTAAATATACAACCGACTTTAACTATAATTTCCCCTAATTTAAAACTAATCCAAAAGCAATGCTATTTTCTTATCTAGATAGTGGGTCAATGATCCAACTTTTCCAAGAAACCCATGATGTCATAATTGAATAGCAAGTATTTAAGTTTATTTTTAATCATATTGTTAATTTTGTTAATTTTCGATTTCTATTTTAACTATGGTATACATGGTTTTTAAAAACGAATCGGTGATCGAACCGGTCAGGGGTTCGGTTACCGGTTTGAACGGTCCGACCGTTCGACCTGAACGGCCGGCCCATTCTAACATAAAATTTAAAAAAAAATGGAAAATAGTCAAAACCGTTCAAACGATTAACCGGTCGGTTCAGCGGTTTGCTAACCAAAATCAATGATTTGGGCAGAAAATAGAACCAGTCAGGTGACCGGTTCCTGGTTTTTTTGGTCCGGTTTTGAAAACCACATACTTAATTACTTAATTACTAGAATATATATATATATATATATACGAAGAAAATTTTCTCACATGCAACGCACATACTTAATTACTAGTATATATATATATATATATGAAAGTAACTGCATCCATATATAATTAATGAATCTCGGACACTTCTTGAAAGTATTTCTATAGCTTCCCATTTGGGAGATCAATGATGCAATTTTTGAATGTGATGCTGAAGCTATAATAATCTCTTGTTGGAGGACCATTTGGGTGATGTTTCTGATGTATGGCTGTAATGGCTGTTCAAACCGTCGTCTATTGGAATCCTGTATATTGGGATTAGATCCGAATTCCTCTATGGGGTGTGTTTATTTTGAATTCAAACCAGCCCCCCACAAGATAGTTTTTCACAGTATATCCTCGCCATGTATTGGAAACACCTCATGATGATAATATCAAAAATAATGAGACATTATCAGGAAATGTTTTCAATACACGGCAAGAATGTACTGTGGGACGTTGTGGAAAACTATCCTATGGGGGGCTGAATTCATCAACAATATGGTTGGTTTTGTTTTTTAAAACAAAAAAGTTGCCACATTAGCAAAATGAATATAATTTTACTGATGTGGCAATCCCAACCATATTATCATTATCGAACAACCCTTAAATTTCCACTTGTAGTAACACTCCTTTCATAGTGACATTGTATTGATGAAATAAACTAACTCAAAAATATAATGTATATATATATATATATATATATATATATATATATATATATATATATAACTCATTCAACCGAGCAGTCTACTTGATTGATAAGGTGAGCTTCTGCGAGTTAATGACAGGAGAAGAAATTAGAAAGTATAGAAGATACATCCACCATTAGGTTTGCCAGTTTAGTATGAATATTGTGAATTCAAGAAATGGCACTTAGATAGTTCAGATGGGTGGGTAATTTGAGACATTGTCCGAATAAGTAGGATTGAAGCACAATGTCCACATATTTATTTAGGTCTTAGCTTAAATTATTTGTAATTATTGTGGTTTTATCCATATAAAAATAAAAAAAAAAGTTTTTATTGCAGTGTTTTATATGTAGAGACGGCACCGCCAGGGCTACAATATATGAACCAGATTGAGGGAGCACTTTCATATAATGATGACTTTCCAAGTGATGATGATGAAAGGTCAAAACCAAAGAAAGAAAGCACAAACAAAACAATCAAAGAGCGTAGAGTAGAGAGAGAGAGTGTGTGTGCAGTTTGTCTTTATAAACAATTATTACTAAAATTTCCACCAGACAGCCGACACCGGAGGAGGGTTGATTGGGCCCATTATTTAAAAAGAGGTAAGCCAAAGAAGAAGAAACTAGGGAAGCGTTAACATGGAACCCAGGAATCAGAAATAAAGCTTACTAAGTGAGTGGGGCTTCTCTCGAGAGTCAACTTCTTTGACAGCAACCTCTACTTCTATTATGCCAAGAAAGGTTATGAGGCAGATTAGAATAACCCCATGAAATTTTAATGAGTACCAGTTGATTGATTATCACTTGTATAATCTCATTAATTTAATCTTTTAAAGTATCAATATTGGGTGTATCGTATTGTATTATTGGGTTTTTAGTACATTTATTTAAAGGTATTTTTAGAAAATCAATTACTTTATTAATTAAAGAATATAAAAATGTATAAAAAAATTAAAAAAAAACGTATAGGGTAAAACTAAAAAGCATTGATACACCCTCGTCGATACATGTACCAATACTTTAAATCATGCATGAAATTTTTTATTTTCATTTGTTTCTGAAATTGTCACATCAGTAGAAAGATAAAAGCATGTTCCTTAAACTATATTTTTGTTTTGAGAAACAAGTTGGTTTTGCTTAGAAAAACAATTCGAGCTTTGAGATGATGATTTTTAAAACAAAATAAATGTTGTATTATAGATAATATGATTTATGAAAGAGATGAAATGTATTATATGATTAAAATCGAAAGCAAGTTTTTCAAACAAAACAAAAAAAAAAATCAAGAACCCATTTTTAGTTTCAGTTTTAGAAAACACACATATATAATGTAGAGAAACGGGTATCGGGTTAGTGGGTTGAGCCAAGAATTGCTTTCTCGGGCACACTTTGATTTCAGACAAAAAGAATAAGGTGCTATGCGAGTCACACAAACTTAGTGTATATGGCCCAGGCCCACAGAGTCGTGGATCCATGCACTATCTAACTGATGTGCCTAGAGATTCAACAGAAACCATTCAGGGTGGAATGTCGGCCCCGCTCGGCTCGACTAGAGTCGTGGATCCATGCACTATCTAACTTGGCCTGGCCACACCCACCACATAGGGCCCACCTTATTGGACGGTTGGCAATTCCTCCATGGTTTTTAGCGCATGTGATGTAATATCTTTCCTCTCTTGAATTATATAAGAGAAGAGGGGGCGATGAGATGACGTGGCGTGCACACTAGTGCAACAAGTAATTTCAGTTGTTGTCAAACCACAAAATACTTCCAATTCCAATAAATTAGTGATGCATGAATATAAACTATCAAGTATGAACTCACGCATGAGTCATGACATACATGCACCTCATGTATTTAGCCCAAATGACAGAAGCAATCACGCGTGCAGCTATGCTTGTTAGTCCCACCCACAAAGCACAAAGCTTTGGTTTTACTTTTGTACCCAGTCCAGTAAGGAAGGGTCCAGCCCAGCATGGGAAGCCCGACCAGGAAATTCGGGACTTGGGCCTTGCTTTTTATGTTCAGTTCGCCAATTTGTAGTGCAAACTCGAAAGGTGTTGTTCAATCAAAATTTTGACCAACAGTTTCAACTATAGTTAACAGCAAGATAATGGTTGAAATTTGCGAAATAAGTACGTAGATCTTATCCAGATGTGTCATACCTGGACGTCAAAAATTTTGAGTGGTTCTTATCTAAAAAAAAATTGAGTGGTTCACATATTTCAGATAGTGTTCTTTCCCCTTCTAGAAAAGCTGATAATGAAAGGGTACGATTGATAAAAAGTGAAAAATAACGACTTACCCAAATAAATTAAACAAAAAACATGGGTAAGTGCACTTATTCGGGTAACTGTTACCTGGGAAACACTTGACCAGGTAAGTGCATTTATCCAAATAAATGTGTTTCCAAAAAAAGAACATGACCTTATAATTATTAGGGTAAAATATAAAAACCTCCACTGAATTTTCTGACAATCATATAAACCTCCCCCGTGTTTTCACTATAATAAAAACCTCCCTTTTAATTTTGAGATAATGAAAAATTACCTCCCTTCGAATGTCTTTTTAGACGAAAAACGGTGATGTAGAGCATTTATGTTTTTAATACCATATTTACCCTTAAGTTCGTTTGTATAATGTGTGATAAAATACACAACATTGTTCATGTTCTTCAAACTCTCGAACCTACAACGAGCCAGGCGGATCCAATGACAGAGTGCACAATTGGTGAAAGGTTCTTTGAGCTATTTTTTGTCCCCTCCTCTCTTTCTTTTGCCCCCATTCTCCTTCTCTTTCCCTCTATCTCACTTACATCTTCACCATAGCAGGCGAATAGGGGAGGAGTCATATCAATTGGTCAATGGACTCCATTTCCTGTACCACATAACCAGTACTTCAAGTAGGCATTTTCATCATTCTAACTTTATTTTTTATTTAGTAAATAAATATTCAAATGCAAACGCACTGATTTTATCTCTGACATAAATCTCCATCTCTTGTTGTAAAGTGTCCCATATCTTTTATATATGAGTTGCAGCTCCCTATGATTCATGAAATGCATCTTTCCTTGCGTTGCAGAAAACTAAGACAACAAACATACCCAACTTGTCCTTTTCGTGAATATTTCCAACTCTTATTATTAGAAAAATGTTTTCTTCTTTTATTAATTGCTTATGAGAGTCTTAATAAAAATTCTCTTATACAATTTACAGAGTTCACAATTTTTGCTTGGGTTTACATGATTTGATCTGAAACTTGGTTCTTTTTCCTATTATTTTTCTACCAGGCCTAATCAGAGCTTATCAAAATTGTAACGACGATTATATAACTTCATCTATAACTCTAAAGAGGAAGATGTTGGTGTATAAATCTTTTGGAAGTTTCATATTGTTGTTATCGTTATGGATCACCAGTCCTATGAATAGGAGAAACTTTGGTTTCACAGTTCCAAGATCAAATCAGGTTTTCTACTTCAGTTTCATAGTTTCCATGATCAAATTAGGTTTTCTTTGTCCTTCGAATCTCTTCTTTATTCATCTCTTATCCATTCGTCTGTTTTTTTTTTTTTTTTTGAATCTTCTCTTCTTTTTTCATCTTTTACTTAATCATATTTCTACTGTAGTTAACCAAATCTCTGGTCCAAGATTGCTGCTCCACTGCAGTGTCGTTGTTTCAACGGATGAAACCGGAGTTCCAGGATAGTATTTTGTATTTTATGATTTAAAATCTTATCAAGGATAAATATGGTATTTTAAAAAATAAATGCATCATGCCAAGGTTTTTCGTTTGGAAACACACAGAAGGGAATTAAGTGTACATTTTCCTAAAACCAAGGTTAAAAAAATCGACACGTATCAAATCATATTGGCCGATAAGTATCGTATCGGGAGTACTCCGATACACCCCTACAGAGGGTGTATCGGGGTTCTGACTGATTCAGGGGGTGGAGGAACCTTAAAACGGCCCCCCTGAACCGGTTTTGAAAAAAAAAAAAGTATCGATACTGCCCGAGGGCATTTCAGGTATATCAATATTTAGAACCTGTGCAAGGGAGGTTTTTATTATAGTGAAAACATAGGGGAGATTTATATGATTGTAAGAAAAATGAGGGGAAGTTTTTATATTTTACCCTAATTATTAATTCTAATAAAAAACCATTGTGATTGACTGCAGCCAAGTGTAGGGTGGATAATTGATAGAAAAGTGCAAAACATCAGACAGAGACAGCCCTCGGTTGAGAAGCTTGAACTTGCTGTTGGGGTTCTGGCAAAACACTCTGGATCTACTACCCACAAAATGTGAAACATCTCCCTATGAATAAAAGGGGAGATACTGGGTAGGGATGTAAAAACAACTAGTAGGTAGCAGGTCCGAGCCCCTGGTGAAATGGGGTGGGGATAAATACATTTGGGGAATTAATTTTGGAATTCTGAGATAGAGTTTGGGTACTTCAAAGTCCAAAGGTACCGTTTAAGTCGCAACCCGCGAGTCAATAAGAATTGCTTGCAACCTCGTACGAGGAGCATTTAACCAACTGATTAGTATTGGTTGTGAGTGGTGACTCAGATTTTATCCCAAATTTCTTCCAATACAGCACTGCTGGGGGTCATCTGGATCTGGTTAACATAAACCTACCTGCTTGAATTTGCATATCGATTTAATTTAGACGGTTTGTCTGTATTTAATTGTTGCAGAGAGAACGGCTTTAAATGTAGTTATCTGATATCACTAGTTTAGCCATAGAAACCATCCGACGATTCCCACCTGACACAAAGGGCATCACTTGCACAAAGAAAGAATTCAACCATTTGATTCTTAGCGTTCTGTATGTATCTTTTCAAGGTCATTTTAATGGTTATCCACCATGCAAATCAAGTGCTGTAAAAGATTAAAAAAAAAAAAAAATCAGCTCGTGTCATTCTATCCCCCCATTGCAAGAGCTATACATAGTATAGCTACACCTAGTAGCTTCCCCAATTCCAAGTGTAGCATGAACCAACTGCCGAAGTAGGTACACCTTGATTCTAAGATAAGTAGGAAGACCTTGATACTTTCCCAAAGCACATATTGTATGCTCCACATGGTTGAACAGATGCTTCCAACTATGCCATTTGCAGAGTGCAGAAAATTGAAATAACGTTCTTGCAAGTCAAACTTTTCTAGTTGAAAATAATGCCCAAGGGCTTATTGTAATATCAGCTTATAGTTGCAAACGTATGTTGATCTGGAAATTATGGGTGAAAGAAAAAGTAAATATTTTTCTTTTATTCTTTGTTTGCGTCAATAATTTTCAGTTCTGAAGTCCCTTTCAACACTATCAAAATTACATTCTTACAGAAATAAGCATCCCACGCTTCTCCAAACAATGAAGCTGCACTGTTAAACTAGCCTTTACAGTGTTCAACTCAGATACAAACAGCAACAGTGCAAGCACATACAACTAAAATAATACTCTCAACAGGTAATTCTTTCCTAGATGATAATAAAGCTTTAACTTTGACCAAAATTTGGTGAGTGGGTAATAATGGATACACAGTCACGGGAACTTACTGCTGAAGAAACCATTGGGACCAGAGACTGGAATTGGGCGGATAGCAGGGAAGGGAGGCTGCGAGAATGGGATGTGGCTTTGCACTGCAAAAGGTTGCTGTCCAGCAGCAGCAGCTACAAAAGGTGGAGCCACACAAAGCTGCAATGCTTGGCCTGCTGCACTCCCTAAAAAATTGAACATTAATGTGCCTCAATGAGAGATCAAAGCTAAAAGAAGGTAGAAATTCTTGGGCTTAAAAGCAGACCCAGATCCCATATCATTATGAATGGGAAGTATAAGGTTAATCTATATTCAAACGAATATAAAACTTGGTTGGGCATCCATTAGGCAATGCTATGGTTTACCAGAAGATACTGATGTAAATGGCATCCATGCAACAGAGGACCTACACTTCATTAGACCCATCTGAGAGATCTCCTAAGATGAAGACAAGGATGAAGATACCATCCATCATGTAGGCTCTTTCCTGCCACCCCCACAATCTCTTTCCCACCATTCAAATGAAACAAATAGTTACAAATCTAAAAACATCCAACCATCCAAAGCACCATGAAGAGGGAAAACTTTGGCTGTTTGGAGAAAACAGCCTGGGCTGTTTTGGGAGCCTTCTTCGCATGACACGTAATCCCGAATGTGGGCAAGAATATTTGCAATCAATATTCTTCTAGTTGAAAAGTCAAGCAAGGACCTGAGTTAGGTAACATGTCATGTACAGTAAGCTGGAAAACAAACCAGGCTGTTTTTTTCCGAACAGCCAAAATTTTTCCCCCATGAAATACATATACATCACATGTTTGGTGTATCCTGTTGATTGACCATCATTAGACCTGTTCATGGGTCGGGCTTTCACTCTGCATTAACAGATTTTTTTAAGGCCCGAGCCCGAAGTATATAGCATATGCCGGTGCTGAAGCAGCTGAATAGAGAGAGAGAGAGAGAGAGAAATTATAAAGAAAAAAATAAAAAATGTATATATTAAATTGTTAATGTATATATATATATATATATATATATTATAATAAATATTATATATTTTATATTATATAAATGAGTTGGGCTGGGATTTTTTGACAAATCCCGAGCCCGGCCCAACACACAATCGGGCTTGGTGTTTTGGGCCCGAGGTCAGGCCCGCGGGCCTAATTACATGTCCAAGCCCGACCATCAGATCCTTGACACATGATAAAATTTTTGAAGTTTGAACCATAATTGAGTTTTTTGTTATACATTTACACAACTGTATCTTGCATGATTTCATACCTTGGTGCTTCGGCAAATGTGTCTGATGTGGAGCAAGTAGAGGACGTGCAGGTACTTGTGAGAGAGCTGCAGCACTCTGAACCACATCCTTCGAATAAAAGATGTTAGTCAGTCCAAAAATCACATCATCACATAAATGATAGGCATCCCACTTTTAAAAATGTCCAGCTATTGAAGCACAAGGAAAAGCAAGTAAAATATCTAGGAAAATTAAGGAAATAATTCCATATTAACATGACCACAAACTTTGGCATTATTGTCAATTGGAAAACAATTAGAAAAAAAAAGTAGAATTTAACTCCATGGAATTATTTCTGAATATTTTCTCATTTTTATGTTGAGGAGCACTCAAGTGAGGAGACAAATGGGTATTTTTTGTGCACAATTACTCTTGTTTCGTTCATCCTAAACACTCCAAAGACAGCATGGAGCAAAATATTGCATAGGATCTCTTCCCTCTTACAAAAGGAACCTACATCCACTGGACATGGAGATTAACCACTTTCACAGGAAACACCACACACACACTATAACGAATTGGGGAAAATCAATTAACTAATCCCAATTCATTATAGGGCAGTATGGAGTTATGTACAAATATAGGAGAGAATGCCTTTGCAAGGAAAAAAGATGTCAAAGGTTGGGTCCATATCCAGTCTACCACTCCCAAGACACAGTATTGTCGGGACCATCATTGGATAATGGAATTGCCTTTTTCTCCCTCTTATCTTATGAGAGACAATGCCTTTAGCTCCTGCCTTCTTGTTCAAAGATTGAAGTATATTTTATGTGTTAAGTATGTTGCACCACTTCACAAATAAAGGCCTTAATCTTTGAAGTAACAAGCCAACAAAGGAAACTCCAAACATTTGTGCAGCATCACCCATTCATGCCATGATCCCTGAAAATAAGTTTACCTGCTGGAGAGCTTGACCTCTTTCTATATCCATCACATTCATGTTGTTCATTTGAAGTCAATATCAATTTTACTGCTGCTAGCAACGGATTAGTTGGTCAAGCTTCTCAAATGTTCAAGATGAGGAGAACAAGGATCGCTGTTTTATTTGTTACATGTTATTAGCTGACCTCTACTGTGAGGTTTAGTTTGATGTTTTTCTGTCTAGCTATACAGCCAGATGATTGCACTCTTTTTCAAAGTACTGAATAAAATATCCTTTGATATTGTTGTTGTGCAGAATGTAGCGGGGCCCTTTGATAGTAGCATAAATTTTATTTAGCATCAAGGTACCCCCCCAGGGCTGTTCCTCTTGCATTATTTCTATTTTTTTATGAATATCAGAAACTGATTTATTAGAATAATAAGGAGAGTATACAAAGGGGACAAAGGGAGAGATAAACTCTCTTATATCTCCCAAAAACAGACAACATAATTATAATACAGCCCAAAATAAATGATCCCTTCCCACCCCCTGCTTTGCTAGTGTATCAGCAAATGAATTAGCATTCCACAAAATCGTTACTCTTGCATTATTTCTCCACAAAATGATTACTTTCTTCCTCTTGCCAGGTGAAAATATGTTTGGAGAACAAGGGAAAATTTGTCAACAGTCCCATTCACCTTAATATTTTGAACACCCCCCCCGGTTAATCATTGCTTGTTCATCTAAACAAATAATACTTTTATAAATACAAAGACAAGTAAACTTCCAGCCTAATACTGACAATAATAATATTGATGTGTACGTTGTCATGCAATTATTTGACATATTAGTTATCCCATCTTACATGCGAAACAGGATGCACATAGACAAGTTGTCCAAATCGCCCGACCATGACCTGTGAAGACAAAAATAAACATAGCATAGCATCATCTCAATAGAATTAACAGATCATAAGCAAATGTAATCAAGAAAAGTTTATTCATACTGCTGCTACCAAACTAAGACAATTTACTTGGAAGAAAATGGATCTTCCAAGGATGTATGGTGCCTCACATTAAGAAGGCCACATTTGGATAGATAGATTGAGGGACTTCTTATTCTTTTCAGGAAGTTTAAGGTGTCATAGATCTCCCCATGGTCTAAGATGAAAGATGGTGAAAGGAATGCATGAACTGTTGCTTTCCAATGAAATCATTTTATGATGCTGTGGTAATAAATCAGGTGGATCACTCACAATTTGGAGGTATTTGGGGTAGTCCAATCCCAACTGTATATTTGTCTGACTATTGACCATTTTCAGATCAGTTTATGCTTTATGTGCAACAAGAATGGAAAAGGCGTTAGACATTTACTTATCAATTCAGGGTTGTAGTTTTATTTGATCTTTCTTTTCTGTTTATTAGGAAAGCCACCATACAGGCCTGCTGATCCTCATGAAATATTTTCATTGTGGCATTCTTTCCAGAATAAGGGAGGTTTTTTTCTTTTCTGAAGCACTATTCCTTTTGTACAATTGTACCTATTGAGGGATTTGGAGAGAGAGAGAGAGAGGGGACAAGAAGACTGTTCAAAAGGAAGGAGGCAGGATAATAGAAGATGTTGTACTCATAGCAATTCTCCTATGGACTATTTGATGGTTTATCCAAGAATTTGAAAAGTGCTGAAAGATCAATTTTTGGCATATTCTTGATATTGTAGAGAAAGTTTAGATTTTTTATTTTATGTCTGGTTCTTGTGCGAGAGGTTTTTGTTGATAGAGTGATATCTCAATTCTCAACACCCCCTTATAATTAATGTAGTATTTTCCATTTTACTATAAAACATGCATGTAACAAAGTATATGGAAATCTACCAACTTTGCAAAAAACACAAAAGAAAATCCACCAACTACTTACAGCTTGAGAATTTGGATGTACATATGCAGGACCTGCTTGAACAGGATGAAGTTGACCACCATATCTTATGGCCTGCGGCCTGCCTCCCACATGTCCCACAACCTATGGCCACAAAATAACATCAGACGAGAATATCACCTTGAGCTAATTCAGTAATACTAATGCTGCTGACTAGTCTGATCTTCAAAGCTAATTCTCATTAATACAGTAGAAAAGCTTTGAAATGACATGAAATCAAGAAACAGACTTCTATAGAACCAAAAAAATCACAAGATTTTAGGCATAACAGGAATTGCACAAAAAAATCACAGGATACTGTATAATCCTATAGTGTCTTTATATTTTGTCTGTGATCTGTAATCTTTTGCTTATAATACAATATGTTACCTTTTTCAAAAAAAAATTATAAGATATCAAGAAAACCATGAGAATTGCAGCACCTAAACGTGGAGGATTGTTTATTTGCATATGGCTGGAGAACAGATGTCCCTCAAAAAACAGTGCAACAAAACCAGAAATTTTTACCTTTGGTTAAAAAGGAGCAACTTTGTGGTAAGACACAAAACCATATTCCTCTAGTACTAACTCGAACAAGTTTCTAAATTGACCTAATCAAGTTCCCAGGCTTTAAAACAATATAAAATTTTTCTTAATCTAAAATCAACTCAACAAAGCCTTTATCCCAATTATCTGGGATCAGTTCCCTCATTCTGAATTTAATTTCGGTTTAAATTGGATGAGATTCTCAAATGCTCGATAATATGTAATTAATTTCAAAAAAACAAACAAACAAAATGGAATCCAGATACATATAATCTCAATATTGAATATAAAAATATCAAAAATTTTGAGGCAACACCCCTGAAAAAGAAAAGTGAAGAAAATTAAGGAACAAGATGCAGTTCCCCAATGGAATACAAAAATAGCACCTACATAAGAATTATATAAACACAACAAGGCTAAAGAGTGCGTACAGGTTGTGAATATTGAGAACCACTGCTACCATTTCCAGCTACTGGATTGTATTGGACAAGCTTTACAGGCAGAGATGAACGAGGTGCAAAAGGACTTATTTCAATTTCTGGCTGTGGACAAGCAACAGGCACCACTGGAGAGCTGTTTGGAATGTAAGCCATGTTTGCAATAGCTGGAACCATAGGAGGTGTAGCCGACCTTGGAATTGCAAATGATGGTGAAAAGGTCTTTGCCCCAGGGTTAAGCTTAAATTCCTGCACAGACTACTTAATCAATTCAGTTTATTCAAAAGCTGGCTAATAACCTGTACTAACAAAAGGAAGATGACTGGGCTAAGATTTTGGTGAGGGTGTTGCCACTCAGTAAAACTGTAGAAGGCATACTCTCTTATCAGCCATAAAACTAGTAAATGTATTTTGTGGAGGCAACTTCTTGTACCAAAACATCACAAGGATCAGAACATCCAAGCTTTCCATCCAGCAATTGACTTTGAATGTCTACTAGGGCTATAGGCAATGGAATAAAAGAGGCTAACCATCATAGGATCATTTAACTGATTTTTAATTTTGAGGCCATTAACCAGTCAATAGACACTACAAATTGGATGATCCAGACAAGTGATCATACACTAATAGATCGCAAGCAGGGAACCACAGTACCATTTACTAAATGGTATTGTTCTAGATAATTCCTACAAACAACCTCCATACCTTGGCACCTGTATTAGAAACCAAGCTTCTAGGAGGGACCACAACAGTTGATGTTGACGAACTGGGACCTGATTGTGAGCTACCATCTACAACTAACGTGGAAGAAGTAGAAACATCTGATTGTGGGAAGTGTATTGAGGTGGATCTCTCAGAACCTTGAACCTCTGTCTTGGCAAGTGGAGGTTCAGGACAACCATAAGATGTTCCATTGGGAAGAATACTAGATGAAACGACAATATTCTTTCCATCCACGGATTTTACTTGCATATCACAGACCTCTGCACAAAGAAAAATCACAATCAATTTAAAACACGAGCACTGAAAAACTTTTCAACCCTGCAAAGAGTAAGAAAAGAATGAACTCTTCAAAAAAAGGATGAACTCACTGATTGTACTTGAGCTCTGAACTTCATGAATCTGCAAAAGAAAACAATTCTAGACTAAATACAGCATGCTTTGACATACAACTTTTTAACTAAAAATGCATCTCATATAAATTATTCAGGTTATATTTGCTTTGACATACATTGCCTTCCTTATGGGCCCCATGCTCCTGATCATACCCACTCTTTTTCCCTTGTGACTTGTCTTTCCCAACCTGTCTGTCAGCAGATTAACCAACAAAACATGATGTCAAAAATATTTGCACCAAAGAAAGAAGAAAAGGAGTGCATGTATGCATAACTAAATTTATGTATGATTTCGAGAAAGATACAGCTAGGACAAGTGCTCGGGAAAGACTGATGGATAGCACAACATACAAGACCAACAATCCATACATAGTCACTGATTCAAAATATTGACCCAATTCAGCAATACCAGAATTCAACTTTTTACTCAGAAATCAGTAAAGTCGTCTTGAGGAGCCATGTAAGTCTTGTCTCTTAAGTCATTAAGATTAGATGATAATTTATGAACATCTTATTATAGGTAAACTGAGTGTGTCTTAACTATTTGTCAAGCAGTACTTGTTTTAAAAGACGAAAGTAACCTAATGCATTAAATTTTATCATTACAAAGAGGCTAACTTCTTTCCTTGCACTGAGGATGAACCCAAAATCAAAATTGACATATGCAAAATCAGCAAAGCAGCACTGCATTTAATAATTTGGAAAAAAGAATAAGGGCTAGCTCAATATAGGATACACAAGTGACTCAAAAATGCATTATTCAACTATTCAAAATAATGTTTCACATCTAACAAGTCCAACATAAGCTATATTACTATACCCAATGAGCATTTATCACAACTCAGCACTTGGATTATTATTCCATACAATTTGGTGAATAGAAAAAAAGAAACTAGGATTATCAAAACAAATAGAGAATATAAGAAACAAAAGAAATATACAATAATATGAAAAAATAGGAATTATCAAAAAAAATGAAAAAATAGGCATAAAGCAGCTATTACTTTGGCACTCTATAACCATCCCCCCCCCCCAAAAAAAAAAAAAATAACGATCACTAAGTTCCATTACAATCTAAAAGAATGTAAATTTATATTTTCTGATAACAGATAAAATAAAGAAAGTTTAATGTATAGAGGCTCCCTAAAGTCCATTCTTCACCAAAACAATCTAAGAAATTTGCATTTCTTCACAATAAATTCTTTGATAAAAGGTACTTATAAGCCCTTCACTTTGGCCTCAGTGTTTTTTGACTTGAGTCTAGTGCTAAAGTTGGAGAACCAATCAACGAGTCAAGAATAGGACTAAGGCAATTTTCTCCATATGCAGAGTCACTCTATTGACCTGACATAACAAACTTCAGAGCAGAATCAATTCAGGAATCAAGGATTTTCCTCGAAGTCAACAATCTATTGTATCCAACCTCTACCATTCTTGACAGCTACGCAAAAGCAAAGACCATGAGATTAGTGGAATAGAATGATATTAGAAGATTTTAATAATTAATATGACAAATTATTATTATTTGTTTCTTCATTAAGTAATATAAATAGAACAAATCATTATTGATGGACATTGATCAAAAAAATACTATTGATGGACATGGTTTTAAATGCATTAACCATATGAAGTTTCTACATTGTTCTGGGGTTCCCCCAATTATAATAATATGATACATGCACCATTCATCAAAAAGGGCAAATTATTATTCTGTGATTCTTTACAGATATATTTGTAAGAAACCCTTACCCCATGTCAACTGGAACAGAGAAAGCTTCTTCAGTCTGCAAAAAGGAGGGAAAGCAACAACTGAGAAGATGCTCCCAAAAGATGAAAATATATACGAACATTCTATATACAGAAAAATCCACCTAGGAAGTTCACAAAAAGATAACCTTTGTTAACATCATGTTATTATTTTTCCCATTTTCAACTCCCTGCCCACTTCCAAAAGACTCAGCTGCCGCTTTATTCATTAAAGTGCCCTCTTCAACTTTCATGAGCAATCCATCTTCAGAGGTTGTGTTTGTCAAATCATAAGAAGACTTATTCTCATCTTGATCCAAACTCCTGCATTAATAAGTTTAATTGAGGACAAAGTTCCGTTGACAAAAGCCTGAAGACAATATAGAGAATTTCAAAACTTAGCAGAGTTCAATTTTTTTCAGCACATGAATATGCATCACAGGTTTTGTGCTTCTCTTAATTTTTTTGTATGAGAATGAGTAGAGTCTAAAATATGTATTTTGTTTTCATTTGTTCTTGGTGACAGTGTTCTGCGTGTTAATTAAAAAAGCATTATCATGTTTTAACAAAGAATGTTATTTTCATATAATATTAGGTGAAAACTAAAAAAGCCGGTAAATGTACTTCTTATGATTGAAAGAAGAAAAAAGAAATCAAATTGTAACAAAAAATTGTCAGATCTTTTGGCCCAACATTTCCTTGGAACAACTTCAAGAGGAAGATATGCTCACATTCAAAAACCCTATCACCTTGAAACTCCACCTATACCATCATTTCTTCATCTTAGCCCTATACCATCATTTGATTTTCATCAAAAGCCAAAGGTCTCAAATGGAGTTCAGCGATGCCTTTTAGTCTATGAGTCAAGTTCAGCAGGGAAAATAAGATAAAGAAAAGGCCAGGAATAATAAAACATTTATTATCAATTAGAAGGAAAAAGATAAAAATAAGGCAACCTCATAGTCATCAACAACCCAATATCCACGAAGCCACGAACTGCCTATACCCTTGCCACAGTTAGGAAGTTAGTTGCCTAGGCAATGGTTCAACAAAGTCAAATTAAGATGGCTAGACACCCAAGTTGAAGGTTTGATGAAATGAATGAGGAGAACAAAGGGAGCTAATCTTTCTTTTTTTTATTTTTGATCAATAATGATAAGGAGACTTTATTGAATTAGAAGAAGCAATAAGATACAAAGAGCCCTTTAAAAAGGACAATGCTCAATCCTTGCCAAACATTGATCCTCTGTGATGCCCTAGAATGGGAAAAAACATCAAGGATGGAGCGCCTTCAAATGTGCTTTGGGAAGATTATACAACTAGTTTCTCTTCTATAAGTGTCATTTAAAGATTTCTCAGCTCATTCATTGCAATAACAAATGAAAAAGGTGGTTGAAGGTGGAATAATGGTGGTGGACCTGGTGGCTCCACTCCAAGGACAGAGAATTGATGAAACTGGAGATTCAAAGATCATAGTAGGGTGGCTGAAAAAAAAATGTAAAGGGGTGCTTTGGCAATTCAGAAATGAAATCAGACGCTTCAAGTGGCTCTCAATAGATTTGAACATTCAAATAAAATGGGTAAGAAGAAACAAACAATCCATAAACAGCAAATGTTTTAGGCACAATTGTAATAGGGTGGTGGGTAGACCTGTTCATGGGCCGGGCCGGGCTCTGTATATGTATCAACAAAATGCACTCAGGCCTGAGCCCAAGCCCGGCCAAAAATTTAAAAACAGAATTTTTTCTTTTTTTTATTCAATAAAAAGTGTTTTATTTATATAAAAACCTTCAAAAACTCAAAAATAATATTACTTGGAAAAAAAGAGAAGAAGAACAAAGAAAAAATATTGTATATATATTTTTATTATTTAATATATTGTATCAAGTCAGGCTCGGGCTCGGGCTCGGGCCGGGCTTTTTTGAGAAAGCCCGAGCCCAAGCCCGTGGACCTAAAATTATAACCAAGCCCGACTTAACAACAAACCGGGTCGGGCCAGCCCGTCAAGCTACCCAGCCTATGAACAAGTCTAGTGGTGGGGTGTGTGTGTGTAAAATTGTATCCACAACCTCTTGTTGTAATCTCTTTGTATTTTAATCAATCAATAAAATCTTTTGTGTTGCTGATCAAAAAACAATGATGAAAATGGAGCTCGGAGAAAATGCTGGTAGTGGGGGTTGGACCCCCAATCCTGGAAAATTTTGAAAAAAAAAAAAAAGACTAGCGGCTTGGGAAAAGAACTATATATCTCAAGGAGGTAGGGTAACTTTGATTAAAGCCACACTAGCTAACTTGCCAATTTATTATCTCTCTGTGTTTAGGATACCCTATAGGGAGGCAAAGAAATTGGAGAAATTAATGAGGGATTTCCTATGGGAGCCTGGGGAAGAGAAGACGAGTCACTTAGTAAGGTGGGAGGTAGTTTGCAGGTGTAAAGAAGAGGGAGGTTGGGAATAGGGAACTTGGTCCTAAAGAATGTAGCTTTATTAGGTAAGTGGTTGTGGAGATGGCCCAAAAAGAGAGAGGTAATGGGGTGAGGTGATAGCAAGTATTCATGGCTGCCTGGAGAACGGTTGGGATGCTGGTGTATCTCATCGGGCTACTTCGACTAATCCTTGGAAAGCGATTCACAGTATCCTTCCCCAATTTCTTAACTTTTTCAGGTATGATACTTGTTTTGGGAACTTTGTTTTGTTCTGGGAAGATGTTAGGGTGGATTCTTCATCCCTCAAAGACCTTTTCCCTTCACTCTATTCCATTTCCTTGTTTAAGCATAAGGTCACTTCCCATTTTCTCCCTTCCCCCTTTTCCTCGATGTCCCTGAATTGGAATTTTGGTTTTTGTAGGGGTTTAAGGGATGTTGAACACTTGATATTGTTTCAGAACTTCTTTGTGTCCTAGATAGTGTCTGTTTAGATCCCCTAAAGCCGGACAAAAGAATTTGGTCCCCCCATCCTAAAGGTTTCTTTACTTGTGCCTCCTTCTTCAAGGCCATTTGTACTCCCACTACACAACTTGTTTTTCCAGTTAAGGAGTTTTGGACTAAGCCTATTCCCCCTAAAATCACTTTGTTCTACTAGGAAGTATTTCTTGGGAAGATTAATACTTTGGACTGTTTGCAAAAGAAAAAACCTTTTTTGCACCTATCCCCTTCTTGGTGTATTCTTTGCAAAGCAAATGGTGAGGTTCCACTTACTAATTTCCTGTACCTTTGTTGCAGATGTTTGGGTTTGGATTTTTGCCTTGTTTGGATGTAGGTGGAACCAACCTGCAGATATAAGCCGACTCTTTGATCCATCGGCTTTTGTGTGGCCCAACAAAAGAGTATCTTAACAAGGGCAATTCACTGGCTGAAAACTCTGAATTCTTTCCAATTGTTCTCCTTTGACAACCTTAGGAGGAACTGATTAGTAGTGGCAAACAGCTCCTTCAGGAAAGAAAAGGTCATCATTCCTTGGACCCCACCACCTAACAGTTGGGTAAAGTTGAATTTCGATGGAAGCACTTAAGGAAACCTTAGCACCTCAGGCAATAGGAGGAGTGTTGAGAGATAAGGACAGCAACATCTTAGCCTTATACTCTGGTCCAATGGGAGTAGGAGATAGGGGTGGCAAATGGGTGGGTTGGGTTAGGTTGGGTGTGGGTTGAGTATCAACCCACCCATATTGACCCTGCAACCCATTTGCGACCCATATTTATTGATGTTAGTGGGTCACAACTCACAACTAGACCTGTTCATGGGTCGGGCGGCCCGATGGGCCGGCCCCCGGATGGGCTTGAACAGGTATATGGGCCCACGGGCTTAACCTCGGGCCAAAAAGCCCGGCCCGCAATAAATTCGAGCGGAGCTCGGGATTTGCCAAAATAGCCCGGCCCGGCCCGACCATAGTTAAACCTAAAACCCTACTCGAGACATCTTTGACTCTTCCAATTTTTTTTTCTAGCCGAACCCTTCATCTCCATCTCCACATCCTCCACACTCCACAGACCACAGTTCTCATCCTCACACTCTCAGGCAGCCACAAACGGCGAGGCGGCGAACGTTTACCGGCGCAACAACTCCGGCGGCGGCAGTGAGCTCTCTCTCTCTCTTTCTTTCTCAGACGCGAACTGATCAAGTGATCATTGTCAAAATCGCAGGTCAGGCTCGCAGCTCACAGACCACAGTCACCGACTCACCGCGAACTCTCCGACAAATACAATCACCGGCGGCGGCGGTGAGTCCTCTTTACCATTTTATTCTATTACAATCTTTAGTGTTTACTGTTTTTATAACTGTTGGAGATAAATGACACAACCCACCTATCTGCCTATCTCATTATTCTTTCGTTTTATTAAGCGCTTTCTAAACTCTAAAAGTGTTTTGTGTTAAA